GTTAAGAAGCTATAAGCCAAAACGTAAAAAAGCATACCCTACCCATCCGCCAGCCTAGGTAGGATAATACGCCCTATTGCAGTAACACCTTATACTAGGGTAACCTACTTACAATTGCTAGGCTGTAGTTTCTTCTATTTCCTAGGTTTCTCTATGCCTGTAATAACAAGCTAAGAGGATATCTTACCTATTATAAAGCTAGACTTATTAAAGTTCTAGGTGTCCTTATCTGTAATACTATACTTTGTCTTTCTTAATTAAACTAGGCTAAACTAGGGCTAGATAAGCGCTGAGTCTTCGCAGGCAGCTCGCTGGCAATTGTATAGACAGCTCCATCGCGTGCGCAGCTCTAGTGTACGCTTGATGAAGTTATCAACCTAGTTCTTGCCTGTAGGCTTCCCACCACGCTCCCTTAGCAGTCTATCAGCCATATCTTGTACATGCGCCTTTAAGGGTGGTATTCCACGTAGACTCTCTTCAAGTATACGCTGTATAATCGCCTCCTCTTCTAGCTTTGTAAGGCGCTTTGATTTTATCTTGCAGTCGCGTTAAGGGCGTTGTCTAGCGCGTCAGTCTCAGATTGTTGTTTGTGGGATGTTATAGACTACTGCAGCGCGTCTTTCGCTCTGTATCTGCTTAGACTCAATATCAGAGATAGCAATAAATATATCTCCTTCAGTATAGGTCTTTTGCATGTTGCGTTGTTGTGGCATTACGCGTTGTTGCTGCGCAGGCGGGGCGCGGGTGTTTAGTGGGCGACTCACTTGGGTGGGCGACTCGCTTGTGAACCACGTTACTTAGAGTATAGATAGACCTAAAGCTCTTGTAGAAAACACACATCTAGAAGGTAGCAACAAAAGGAGAGATGACGTTCTACACTATGTCTAGGATTATAGCATTGTTATAGGGCCTGTTAGTCCGCAAGTCACGATTAGTATACACAGTAGTGGCACGTCTAATTATGGTATACAGATCCTAGATATAGTTAATAGGGCAGGGAGGCAAAGGCATAGACAAGGCAAAGATTTGCAAGCTAGCAGTGGTCTAGAACAAGTGTCTAAGGCGGACGCTAGGGGCCTATAAGAGAACACCAGTGGCTGCAATTAAGAAAGAGAGTGGAACGCCGCCACTATCCCTGTACATACAGGTGGTGACCCTCTAAAGGGTAGTTATAACAACAAATCACCTAGTTATAAAGAGGATTAAAGAGACACTTAACAAAGTATAGGCCTTAGCCACTATAGGTAGACAAGCAGCACAACAGGGCAGGCCAGCGAGGATCCTCACTTAGCCACAAACCAACATAGAGGGCGCCCGCCAAATAGGGAGAAAACTTATTAACAAACAAATAGCGCGTAGGCAGGCTAAGGCTGCCGCTTAGGCTGGCGGATGGGTAGGGTAGGCTGGCGGATGGGTAGGGTATGCTTTTTTACGTTTTGGCTTATAGCTTCTTAACTAGCAGAGATACGCTTACATAATCTAGTATTCAATAGAAGCGCCTAGTATTACGCCTTCTAATAAAAAAAGAATTAGCTAATTCTGCCTAGTATTAGCTAAGTTATTAACACTACCTAGCAAAGTATACCTATTAATGGGTATGCTTGCTAGGTACCCCCCCTTTTTTAACATTTTCTAGCCTCTAGCTTATACATTTTAATAGTTATAACAAAACCTTCTACTACAAAAATATAGAGGTGGTTTTTCTCTTTCTTTTCAGCCCTAGTTTGCTAGAATCCATGTATTATTGATAAGGTTTTGGGGGGTACCCACGAAGGACGTTGGAGTATACCCATTCCGCCAGCCTACCTAGAGGAGTCTAGAACGTTCTGCTTAGAAATACAGACAGAGGAGAGGAAGCATAAATACCTCTAGCTCTCCCCCCTCTGTTTACTCTGTAAATAGCCTAGCAATCTCTACCTAGTATCTAATATAATAACTTGTCTATTATATTACATAACCCTACCTTACCTCTATTAGGCTATATGCTTCCTATTTAGACAAAGCTAGTCTAGATTTGTCTAGGTCCTTCTAGACTAGGAAGAAAGTAGTCTAGTCCTTCCCCTACTTTCTTTACAGCATAATATTGCAAAGGTGATTAGAGACCTGCTAATAAGGTACGTTCAATGCTCTAGCAGTGCTGTAGATACTGCGAAATTAGCCAGTGTAGAAGGCCTAGATAGCAAGGATAACTCTGCCTTCTCTAGTAGTATTCTAAAGTTGTTGTTGTTGAGGCATGTTGTGTTAGGGTAAAAGGTGGTCGTGCTAAGAGAAAGTGGCTGGATTGGTAATATGGCCGGCTCGGTGATAATCTACGTTATACAAGTTTTTCTCCTAGTTCTAGCGCTTTAATGGCTGCAAGCGCAGCGTTAACTAAGTTTATATTAGTAGAGTTGTTGCGTGTTGAAGTTTAGTAGCTGTTGCGATTTTGGTGTTTGGAGCGGGCGTTACGCCGTCACACACGGTATATGTGGCCGAGAAGTATATGACCGAGCTTAAAGTCAATCCTTATAGGTAAGCTCGCTGCCGCTGCTATGAAAGTACACATAACTTCCGATTAGTGAACGACAAAAGGTGGCCAGCGTGGATTCCATGGAGTTGTTGCACAGTTGTTGCACACTACGTCAACGCCAGTGGCACGATTGTGGACTTGTCCATTGCGCTGCCATAGCTCATCGGCGTCTACAGCTCCGATTCGATTGGAGAATGTATCTACAAAGTACTAGAGGAGTTTGGTACAACGTGGAAGAAGCTGGGACACTTTGTGGTGGACAGCGCAGCGTGCAAAGATGTGGCGATTGAGTACTTAGCAGCACGATACGCGTTTATTGCCAACTGGTGCCGCCTTCGTTGTGGCCCCCATACTCTTGACTTAGGCAGCCGAACAGTGATGTTTGGCGAGGAGGAAGCCGCTTCTAACAACGCGCCAGTACACAGTACACGAGAGGACGAGGAGAAGCTCATGGCGGAGTGGCCGCAGCACGGTCCCCTTGGTGTTTCTGGACATCACATCTCACGTCAGTACGCCGAAACAGCACTCCAGCTTCGACCGCTTTCAACATGTCGCACATACCGAAGATCCTACCAACAACGATCAGTTGCTATTGGCTGTAGTCATGGCGTGAGTCACTCGCTGGAGCAGTCGCTGCGCTTCGTTCGGGCGCAGCTTACTCTTCCAGCAGTCCATTACACAGTAGTTACTGAACCACATTATCAAGAAACGACAGGATACCGACAAGTACGCACGTGAACGGGGAAATAAGCTATCCGCAGCGCCAGCATGGATGCGATCGGGCGAGCTATCGGTAGCGGACTGGACTGTAATGACAGAGTACGTTAACGTAATAAAGCCACTGAAAACTGCGATGGACCGGCTGGAAGGATGCGGGAAGGCTTTGTAAAGGCTCAACGGGTGATTTGGTGCCATATACAAGGTTACAACTACGTTTGAGCGGCTTATCGCCGCCTTCGAAGAGAGCCTGTTGCCATATACAGAGGTTAACTTCGAACTGAGTGACGCTCTAGAGGACTATATAGCTGTCAACCTGCGTGCCGCAATCGCAAAACTAAAGCAGTATTATAGCAAACCCAGTGTCTCCCCCACTTACTACGAAGCAATCGTACTCGACTCGCGATATCGTAAATACTATAAGCTTGCTTAAGCACAGGACCCAGCGCGATTGGTGGCAACCGACGCAGCTTCTCGGCGACTTTGGTGCCTCTATAACCATCATTCAAATCAACTGCCCGGGTTTAATTAACCTGACTTGATTTATCCCATCAGTGCATGCCAACCGCAACTCGCTCACACTCGACGGGCACGCTACTCGGCCCCAACCATTAGAAACTTACGCGCAACATCGGCACAGATCGAGGCCACGCTATCACCTTTGAGTATTCGCAGCACAGGCACATCCAGATTCAAAGCCTGCTGGAACCAAGCGCGGATCTCAACAGCGATGAGGGAGTCGAGGCCGAGGGAGATGAGTGACCGGTCCGGCTTGATGGAGTTGGGCGCCATTTGAAGCATGGTCTCGAGACGCTGAGCAAACGCGCCCTCAATGGCGGCGGCGGCCTCCTTCTCCGTTATGCCCGCGCTCAGCTGGCGCTTGAGGTGATCCTGCTGGTGCTCTGCGGATCCCAAGCCCGAGGACGCTGCCGCTGCCGATACGTCACGCGAGTCCATCACGTAATGTGCGAAACGAGGGTTGGAATAGAATGGGGGACGGACAGCGGCTTGGTCGTCGTCGATGAAGGGGTCGATGCCAGCAATGATGTCCCATGAGCGGTCATGACACCGGTCCGGGTGGCTGTTGGCCACGGCCTCTGCGAAGAGGTGATGTAGGTCTCGTTCGGACATGAGCTGAAGCGAGAGCTTGCCCAGGTGCTCTTTGAAGCGGCGGTCGCTGCGCGCGACGTAGCCGACATCGGTGATGAAGCCAATGTGCATGACGGACGCGGGCAAACCGGACGAACGCCGGCGGGCGCACAACCCGGCCATGAACAGGTTCGCGGCGTGATAATTTGACTGCCCGGCATTGCCGAACACGCTGGCCAGCGAGGAGAAGAGGACAAAGAAGTCGAGTTCCGGACCGTTGCTGCCAAACACTTCGTCCAGGATGGCCGAGCCATCGACCTTGGGTGCCAGCACCTCGTTCAGCGCCTCGGCCGTGGTATCGGAAAAGAGCTTGTCCTTTAGCACCATGGCCGCGTTGCAGACGCCTGCAATAGGCGGAAGCTCGGCCGCGATGCTTGCACAAACACTGTCTACGGAACGCCTGTCCGACACATCCATACGGTACACGCGGACAGTGGCCCCGAGTTGGCTCATCTCCCTCAGCCAAGCGGCGTCAATGCTGGCATTGCGGCTGCTGAGCACGACATGGCGCGCACCATTCTCGACCATCCATCTGCAGAGGGAGCGGCCCATGTCCCCGGCCATGCCCACCAGTAGATACGTCCTGTCTGGACGAAGCAAGCTCTTGATATCGAGCGGCCTAACAGCCACTGTCATCTCTTGTTGTGTCCAGTCGACAATGCTGGGGTAGCCCCGGCTGCGGAACGTTGCGCCTGCCAGGTTCTGCACAGGCACTGTAATCGCTGTCGAAGTATGAAACACGGCGGCGTATGCAGCCCTGAGCACGGCAGCATCAAGACAGGAGGTGGAAATATCAGGCTCACCCAGCTGGTGGACGCTTGCGGCGTGTGGGAGGCTGGCGATAAGTGCAGGTGGTGATGCTAGGCTGAGGCCAATGAAGCAACCAATGTCCTGTGGCACGACTGCACGCAGTGCTCGCTCTGTGGCATGCCAGTGAACTGAAAGCCAGCCACTAGGAACGTTGGTCGTCTTGGAAGTAGCAAGCAAAATGGTCTTGCCTGTGGCCTGGGCTTGAAGGCTGATTGCAGCGGCAAGCCCATCTGTGCTGGGTTCGTAGACCAGGGCTCGACGGTCGCTGGGTATGCGTTGGACAATAGCCTGGGCAAACAGCTGGGTGGCCATGTCCACCAGCAGCGCCGCCTCCGCCTCTGCCTGCCCTCCAGGCGGCATCACGAAGACGCTCTTGGCCACTATCGAGGTGGCGTCCACGTCCGACACAGCAAACGCGAGTTCCAACGTATCCTGTGTGTTGCCCAGACAGAGGAAGCAACGCGTTCCCAGCGCAGTCGAGTACTTGACGTCCACGACGCGTGCGCCCTCGACGGCGACCAACGGCGCCGCTTCGCGCAAGCCAAGCTGCCCGTTCCCGCCGTCCTTGGCGCACAGCTCGACCCGCGTGGCGTTCTTGGCGACCCGCCGTTGGACGGGCCGGTGCCTGGCGCTGATGCGATCGTTCATGGCCTCGTCCGGCACGATCCTTGGCACCCACAGCTGGTCGCCCACTAGTCTCAACTCGGGCTCCATGGTCCACCGCACCTGGACGGCGTCCGACCGGCCCGCAAAGACCAGCCGCAGGAACACAGCCGCAACGACCGCGGGCGACGTATCAGCAACGCCGCGTGCCTCGAGGTCGAGGAACTGCAGCGCGAGATGCGGCAGCTCGACCGGCAGGGAGCGACCCAGACCGACGACCATGTTGGACAACGGACTCGCATCAGCGGCCCCGCTCGTGAGCCATAGCACCCTCCGTGCCTGTGCAAACAGCTGCTGCAGCTTGCGTAGCCTGCTGGTCGTCATGGTGTCGGCGAAGAGCGGCGCATCGAGCTCCGTCAGACAGAGCACCGATGAGAATGCCTCGATGCCGCCGCCACTCTCGAGCGAGTCAATGCTGTCCACCACGACCGTCTCCTTCCACTGCCTAAGCAGCGCCTGCAGGCCCTGCCTCAGCTTGGCCGCAGCCGGGCGCGTACCACCAACGATGAGAAGGCGCTCCTGGGGGAATGTGAGCGACGCGGCCAGTGGGTCTCGGAGGACGGCTAGCGGCTCGTCGATGGCCTGGGTGACCATGACGGAAAATGTGTGCTTGGGCAGTTCCGGGAAGTCGTAGCTGACGGCGTTGACGCCAGAGAAGCGCGTGCTCTGCAGCAACTTGTCCCACTCGCTGACGGAGACGCCAGGCTGGAAGCGTCGGCCGTCGTCGACACCGAGCCACCAGCCAGGCAGGGCGCCCATGATGTACGTTGCTGCCATGGCGGTACCAGTGGCCTCCATGAGAATAAGATAACCGCCAGGCTTGAGAAGCGACCGCGTGTGCTGCATCGTCTCGGCCAAATTGCGAGTCGCGTGCAGCACGTTGGCAGCGACAATGACATCATACGCTCCTTCCTCGTAGCCCTGACTCGCAACGTCCTTCTCGATATCGAGCACGCAAAACTTCATCTTGTGGACATGGTCGGCAAACTTGTCCGCCGCGCGCTGGAAGAAGCCCGAGGAGATGTCCGTGTACGTGTACGACGAGTAGCGCGAGCCGATGCTGTCAAAGATGCTGCGTGTGCTTCCGCCCGTACCCGCGCCGATTTCGAGAAACTTTGCGCGTGGGTACTTGTGCGCCAACTGCCGGGTGACACTTGCAATCGAGGCATTCAGCCGGCGTGCAAAATCGCCCTCCATGTAGAAGCGGTTGAGCATATTGGCTTGCAGCATGACTTCGAGGATCTGCGTCTTTCCGCGCACGACCGACACGAGATGCTCGCTGATGGCACGCATCAGTTCTAGCTCAATTTGGCCGGGAAACTTTGTGTGCAAGTCGTGGATTGTTTCCCGCGTGTCCTCAACCCAGACCTGCTCCGCGATGGGGTTTCGCCCGCAGTGGATATCTTCCAGCTTGACTGCAATTGCCTCGAATAGCCGTTGATGGTGCCAAGCAAGTGTCTTGATCTCCTCGGCTGAAACGCTACGGACGAGGTCCCGGAAGTAGAACAGTGCAGTTCTTTCCATGATGTGAATCAATTCGCGCGTCCTCTCAACGTCCTTCTCGTTTGTCTCTCCCACATCTATCGCGCCAGTAGTAATGTCTACCTCCCACACCGTCCGTGAGAAGATTCGGCCGTCTTTGGCAGGCATGTTGTCGGAAAGGAGCTTCCAGGAGAGGCCCTCGATTTGGATGCTAGTGGCGGTGCCCGAGGAATCAAGGACGTGGATATCGCCGACCATAGCGGACGAGGCCAAGTGGGTGACGAAAGCGTCGATATCCGTTGTTGCTCCTGGGCGTGACAGTCCTCCTAAGCGATTCGGATCGACAATGAGGCGGTGCAGAGTCGTCGGCAGAAACAACGTTTCAACGAAATCCGTGGTGGCGGACGCTAGCGGTATGAGATTGGCCTGGAAGGCCAGGTCTAGAAGGGCTGGGTGCACCAGATACTGCTCGTCGTCGTCGTCGTAGTCTTCCTGGCCCTGCCAAGTAGCTGTTGTTCGTGCGTGGTCTTGACTACGCTCAGCGCGAGTGAGCCCCCGGAACAGGTCTTGATAGTCGAGACCCAGGCGCTCCATGGACGAGTAGAAGCTCTTGGGATCTACCGCTGACATTTGAGAACTAGTAGGCACGACGCGTGGAAGGCCAACATCATGCGCGTCTCCCATATGGACAACAATGCGGCCGCTTACCGTCTTTCTCGAGGTCCCGGATGCCTCGTCTACAAACGTGTAGCTGCTGAACCCGGCCTCCATCACGTCCTTTTCTTCATTACCCTTGTTCAAGACTTTCAATATAAACATTGTCTCAATTCCTGGAGAATTCTCTTCCAGGACAATGGAGTGGTGGATGCTTACGTCCCTAAGCTCAATGAGTTTGGCAGAGCGGTCCGACTTGAGATACTTGGACGCCTCGATAGCCATGGTGACATGTGCAGCAGCCGGGAACAAAACCTGACCCTTGAAGCCGTGGCCACGCATCCAGGCCAGCTCGCTCAGTCGTAGGATGTTACGCCACCTCATCTCATCATCAGTATCGTCTGGAAGCCTGCGCCCAAGGAGCTCGTGTGGAGCGTTCTTGCGGAGCCGGTAGTTCCGAGAGATGCGCCCCTCTTTCCAATATGTCTTGTCGTGGTCCCAGGGATACGACGGGAGATTCTTCAGCATCTGTGGCGTCGCCGTTTCCAAGGCGAATGCTCGATGGTAGCCCTCGAAGTCAACAAAGGAGGGACCGAGGGTGGCCCATACGAGACCGAGACCGTCGGAGAAAGTCTCGATTGCGTCTTCGCCACGACGCAGCAAGCCAATGTAGGGGGGAGAGGAGTCGAGCACCGACTTCAGAACTTGGGTTGCAGGACCTTTGAGCGCCGGATGAGGTCCCATCTCTATTGCTACCTCAAACGGGCCACCGTTCCAGATGGAATTTTCGACAGCTTCTGCGAACAGCACTGGCTTCACCATGTTGTCGACCCAGTACTGCCCTTTCAGCATGTCGAGGTCGCTGTCTTCAATCAATGCGTCTCCTAGCACGCTGGAGCACCAAGTACAACTAGGATGCGGCTGGTTGACGGTGATTTTACACGCCTCCAAAGATGCCAGGTACGCTTCGGCGCAAGGCAGCATGTGATGGGAATGGTACGCAGTATCAACCACAAGCTGCCTGGTGAACGTCTTCTCGGCGTCGAAATGCGCCTTGGCTTCTTGCACGGCATCGAGATCGCCGGAGATGGTAACACTAGAAGGTGAATTGCTTGCCGCTGGGCTGATGCGTCCCGCCCATTGTGGTTTTGCGCAGAACTCAGCCGCCGCTTCGTATGATATGGCCGCCGCGAGCATGCCTCCTTTCTTTCCATCGGGTCCACAGGATAGGTATGCGTAATATCCTCTGTAGTATGCAATGGCCATGGCGTCTGCGGCGGAAAGGATACCAGCAGCATATGTGGCTGCGATCTCACCAGATGAATGGCCAACTGTGGCGTTGAAACGAACGCCCGCAGCTGTAGCGAGGTCGACCATGGCAATTTGCAATGCGGTGCACAGTGGCTGGCTCAGCACAGCCTCGTTTAAACGTGAGATTTCTTTGGGCGCCAGCAGCTCTTGTTTAAGAGACCACGAGGGTGGATCGGGTAAAGTAGCCAACGCGGCCTCGCTGCGTTCGATGGACTCAGCAAACAGCCGGCATCTCTGAATCAAAGACGCACCCATGGTGGCCCACTGAGCACCTTGACCTGTGAAGATCCCAAGGACAGCCGGCGCATCATCCTGGTAGAGGAGTTGTGGACGAGAACCAGCGCTACTAGGATCGGCAGTCTCTATAAAATCATCCATATGCTGGAGAAGAAGGTCGCGTGACGGGGCTGAGAAGCTGTGCTTAAAGTCGAACAGGCTGCGCTTCTTCTGAAGGAGCCAGGCCATATCGTCGAGGCGTAAGCTTGGATTTGACCGTATGTACCGGGCGTGCTCCCGGACCATGGCCACTAACGAAGATGACGAGCATGCGGAGAACAGTAGAGGTCCGTGGAAAAAGGATTCTTTTTCTGCATCTTGTCCCGCGACCGGCTCGGTATCGTAACTTTCGAGGATGGCGTGAGCGTTGGTACCACCGAAACCGAAGCTATTGACGCTAGCTCGGCGGCAACATCCTGGAGTCTCTGGCCACACCGTTCCAGACTGAACGAGCTCGAGGTTCGTGTAGTAGGGCTCGATGGCCGGGTTCAGTTCGTTGAAGAGCAGGTTGGCGGGAATGGTGCGATTTTGAATGGCAAGGGACGCCTTGAGCACGCCGGCCAATCCAGAACAGCCCTCTAGGTGACCGATGATGGTCTTTATCGACCCGACATACATCTTGCTTGAGCCCTCATGGCGCCTTTCTGCTGGAAAGAATGTTTCAGAGATAGCCTGCGCCTCAATGGGATCTCCGGCTGCGGTGCCAGTTCCATGGCACTCGAAGAACTGGCAACGATCTACGGTAGGATCGAGGCCAGCATTCTGATATGTGGATCGTATGAGCTCCGCTTGCGCTGAGGCACTAGGCATGGTAATTCCCTTGGTACGTCCATCCGAGTTGACCCCCGTCTCCCGAATCACGCTCTCGATGTGGTCGCCGTCAGCTATAGCTTCGCTGAGTCGTTTGAGGAGAACTGCTGCACATCCTTCGCCTCTTGCATATCCGTCTGCCGTCTTGTCCCACATGCGGGATCGAGAGTCCGGCGAGAGCATATGCAGTTTTGACTCCGAGATGTACACGGCGGGATCAAGTATCAGGTTTGCGCCAGCCACTATGGCCGTCTTTGATTCGCCACTCCGTAAGCTCTGTACCGCCTGGTGTAGAGCAACCAAGGAGCTTGAGCATGCCGTGTCAATGGTCATGGACGGTCCCTTCAGGTCAAAAATATACGAGATACGGTTAGCGATAATGCTCCGGGCTGTTCCCGTTGCGGCATATGTTGGCAAAATTTCGGTATCTCGCATTTGGAGGTCCCACCAGTCTGCCGTCATGAGCCCCACGTATACAGAGGCTTGCGAGCCGCGGACGTCCTCTACCGAACCCGCGGCCTCCATGGCCTCGTACACGGTTTCAAGGAGGATGCGCTGTGCGGGATCCATGCCCTCTGCTTCCAGAGCGTTGATCTGGAAGAAGGGGGCATCAAATGCACTGATATCCTCTGAAAGAAGGTAAGACTTATTCTTGACGTTTGTACTGCCGTGGAAGCTCCCATCTTTGTTGTAAAAATTGGAGAGGACCAGCCTGTCTTCGGGAATATCGGTCAATACATCCCGTGGTTCTTTCAGCAGGTCCCATAGCTTCGAGGGGGATGAGGCGCCGCCTGGAAACCGGCATGCCGAGCCTATGATGGCGATGGGCTCTTTCACGGCTGCCATGTTGAGAATTGTGCGCGAAAGAATAGACTATTGGGGGCATAGAAAAATGGCCGTTCTGCTGTTCTTGAAACAGCAACAAAACAAAAAGATAACCGAAAAGAGCGCTTAACAGTGACACAACAGGCCACAACGGTTCTCTCTCCGTTCTCTTCACAAGCAGAAGTCGATGCGCTTACATTATAAGTTCAGACTCCGAAGCTTCCAGAGTTCTTTCGGCTCCACAAGAATAGGATAGGTACCGATATGCAACGAGTAGAACTGGAAACGCTTCTGATTGGCTGTTAGTTGATGCGGCAGCTACGATATACCCACCACGGCTTTTTATTTCCGGCTAAAATCAAAAGTTCTAGCCGCTTTCCCTATTCCCACAGCATGCAGTCGAGCGCAAAGACGTTTATCCGAGCGGGAATATCAGCATGAAATTCCGTCTCAAATGGCCATTAGACAATCGTATAATCCTCGCTTAGTCCTTGCTCGCCTTTCATCCGCCGGTCCCCCCTCGATATTAACAAGCCCTCACACGTGCGTGCTGACCGGGCCGAGTCATTTCTCAGATCGAACAAACGACTAAATCTCGTCCCCGTACCCTTTTGATATTCATCCGTCTCGCGTGGATTTCTCAATCGTGTAAACAATAACCATGACGGCTCTCCAGGAAATTTTTGAAAGACTAGAAGCGCACTCTGAGACGATTTTTTGTCTACCCCTAGCATTCTTCTCCGTTTTGGCCATAGCCCGGACGATAAAGCTTTCGACCTGGCGCGACAGAATCTTCAAGAAGAACTTTCTTGGGTCCTTCAAGGTGGTGAGTACTATATGCCCCGATCGTTTTCCATAAATCAAGGACTTGGGCAAGGAGAATAGAAAATGCTATAAGATAAGAAGCAGCTGTATACAAACGACTCCTCTCTGACTCTTACTTCACTATGAGCGGCGCTGAATCTTTTTTTATAGGTATTCACCGGGATATGTGCGCTTTCAAGCACGCTTTCGCTCGTTATTTTACTGTTTCATGTCGACAAAAAGGATAATGGCGTTATTGCTATGATGTATTCGCTTTGCTTCGCGTCTTGGTGCATCTCGGTTACATCCAGGATAGAGCATGTGAAGACGGTGCGGCCCAGCCATTTCCTGCAGTTCTTCTTGCTCTTGCTCGTCCCAAATGAGGCGTATTGGGTACAAAGAATGAGAGCCTACGACGACGCCATTCTCAGGGCTTCAGCATATGTACATGGATTTGCTTTGATCCTCTTGATCTGTATCGAGTCGTGTGGCAAGAGACATTTATTCGTGTCTGGACCCGACCAGCAGTTGTCTGTGGAGGAGACATGTGGCTTGTTTGGTCGCAGACTCTTTTGGTACCTCAACACTCTCTTCTTGAAAGGTAATTTCCCTGCGCCCTCTTCCCTAGCCATTCCTTGAAGTCGTTTTGACCGGAGACTAGCGTACCGGAACACTATCGTGCTGGACGATCTGCCAAAGATTGATGCACAGCTAGTATCAGAGGACACGGTGGAACGATTCAGGGTCCGCTGGTCGCGGCGCAGCAACCAGTCAGGACGCCAGGCTCTATTGCGTTCCATATTTGCAGTTCTGTGGAAAGAAATGTGCATAGCAGTTGTTCCCAGGTGGGTCTCTCTCTTCACCATTAGATGCCAGCATCATAACACTATAAAGGGTACTGGAGCTTGGGATACTATTGACTCAGCCTTTCCTCATATCGGCAATGCTAGTCCAGATCCGCGACCCAGACCGCAATCCCTCTGTGAAGGATAGTATGATGCTCGGGGCATTTGCTGCAAATTTCTTCGTCTCGGCGATATTCTCCTCATGGTACTCGCACAGCATTACTCGGTTCACAGTCAAGCTTCGCTCCATCCTCGTCACCGCCATCTACGACAAGGCACTTCGAGCAAATAGTCGAGAGGCCGACATCGGCTCCGCAACCGTGCTTATGAACGTTGATCTAGAAAGAGTTCTAGAGGGCATGAAGTTTATGCATGAGATCTGGGCGGTCCCAATTGGTATCGTAGTCTGCTTGTACATGCTGTTCACGAATCTGGGCTGGGCCTTTGTGGTACCACTAATAATCGTCATTCTAGCTGCTGGTCTGACGTGGGACATTGGAGATAACATGACTGCACGCAATCTTAATTGGGTGACCAGAACGGAGAAACGGATCACGACTATGTCTAAAATTGCCTCGTCTCTCAAGGAGGTTCGCATACTCGGTTTGACTGAAATACTTCATAAGACCATGACTGCACTAAGAGTCGACGAGCTCCTTGCATATCGGTACGTTTGCCAAAAACTTTCTACAAATATGCTAAGAAGCCCGCTAACCTTATTTCAGATCCACATCGAGCCTCTGGGCATTCGTTGTTGGTAGCGGTAAGTCCAACGCTCCGGGTCATGTTTACGATTTGACCGAATAGATGACAGGTTTCGCAATGTTTCCCATCATGATATTCGGCACAGTGACCGTTGTCTCCGTGACAAGCCTGCGAGGTGGAGTCCCTCTCGATTACGATGGGCTCTTCACCTCGCTCTCTATCCTTAAGTTGATTGCGTCCCAGATGCTCCCAATGCTCCAAGAGCTTATAACTTTCCAGGGGGCGGCAGCATCTTTTGATCGAATGCAGGCGTATCTTTTATCACAAGAGGAATATGACATGGACTACTTTGGAGAGAGCGTAGGGCCATCTGAAGACTTTCAAATTGCCCATCCTGACGGCTTCGAGCTCCAAGAGACCTTTTCGGAGCCTTCACGCAACAAGGCATTCAATATTACCGGTGCTTCCTTTGGATTCGGCTACGGACCAACATTGCTGCATCATATAACCCTAACCATTGAGGAGGGTTCGTTCACTATGATCATTGGCAAAGTTGGGTCTGGGAAGTCATTAATGCTGCAGTCGCTCATAGGTGAGATGACGAAGCTTGAAGGAGTTTTCGAACGAAGCCACTCCCTTGTCTCTTACTGCGCCCAATCAGTCTGGCTACGTAATGTCTCGGTACGAGATAACATTCTAGGGGAGAGCGATTTTGAAGATAGCTGGTACAACGCTGTGGTTCGCGCGTGCGTCCTGGAACAAGACTTCGCGGAGCTGCCAAATGGAGATGCAACATTGGTCGGATCCAGTGCCATGGCTCTTTCGGGAGGGCAGAAGAATAGGATTTCACTTGCGCGGGCTGTCTACTCGCGGAGACCCGTTGTCATTGTCGATGACATTCTTTCCGGACTCGACAGCACCACGGAGAAACTGGTATTCTCGCGCGTATTTGGCCCCGAAGGTCTACTCAGGGAAATCAATTCCACAGTCGTGATTGCAACGCATTCTATCCGTTGGACCGCACAGTCGGATAAGATTGTCGTTATGTCTAAAGGCAGCATTATTGCCCATGGGTCCCATGAAAGCCTGTTGCAAACTCCTGAATTATGGGAGACTTTCTGCTTACCACACGAAGAAGCAGTCTTCGCGGAAGAGCAGAGGCCCGACCATAGTAGTACCCTGGACTCTGAAAAGAAGGAGGTCGCTGAAATCGCGACTGTACCTGAATTAGAGAAAAAAGATTACAGACGAAAGGGCGAATCTGGGACGCTCCTTTACTACCTTAAGGGGGTCGGCAAGACGCGTACGGTCATTTATTTTATATTGATGACGTCGGCCTACACCTTGAACGCAGTCCAATTTATATGGGTGCAAAAGCTTCTAAAGGATAGTGTTTCGGTTGTTCTCTTTTGCAGAAGCATCAGTATATTCACCGCCATCAGCCTGGTGGCTTTCTTCCTTGTCGGACTCTTTCTAACCTACTTCTTCGTTATCCTTTGCCCTCGCTCGGGCCTGCAGATGCACGCAAGGCAGCTCTCCGTGTTCATGAAAGCACATTTTACCGCAATTGTTACCAAGGACGTTGGCGACATTATAAACCTATTTTCTCAGGACACCGTCATCGTAGATAGACTACTCCCTATATTATCGCTTAACATATCAACAGGTAAGACAATATATTGAGAAATGTAAACGACTGGCTCACACTATCACAGGCTTTGTCGAGCAAACCAAAAACTGCATTATTCTGACCGCCGCAACTCCACCTATTTTGGTCGTTATACCTTTCTTTGTCGCTATTGGGTATGCAGTTCAGCACTTCTATCTACGTACATCTCGCCAACTCCGTCATCTGGACTTGGAAGCCAAGGCGCCCCTGTGCACCAACTTTCTCGAAACTCTCTCTGGAAGTGCCACTATTCGGGCTTTTGGCTGGTTTGCGGCATTTGAAAGCCGAAACAGTAAGCTCTTGCTCCAATCACAAGCGCCATATTACCTCCTTCAGGATACCCAAAACTGGCTATCACTAGTCCTTGACTTGATGGTTGCAGGCATTGTTTCCATTTTAGTGGGCCTGGCACTTCTTTTCCGTGCCAAGATAGATCCTGGTTTTGTTGCACTTGCTCTTGTTGGAGTGGTAAGTCAAATTCAACTACTATCCATTACCCCTTGCTCTAGACTACGAGCTAATCAGTCCAAGATGGATCTGGGCTTCGGTATTCGGATCTTAGTCCTCGCCTGGACGGAGGTCGAGACAGCAATGAGCGCGGTCACCCGCATCAGGCTCTTCTTGGAGAATACAAGTCAGGAACCGATCTCGTACTCTGACTTCTCTGATCCACTCTGGCCAAGCGAAGGCGCTGTTCACTTCCGCAATGTCTCCTCTTCATACACCCCTGACATCAATGTGCCGGCCACTCTCCGCAGTATTGACTTAAAGATTTGCGCCGGCGAAAAAATAGGTATCTGCGGTCGCACCGGTAGCGGCAAATCGTCGCTCATTGCCACCCTCCTCGGCCTTATGCACCAAACGACTGGCGAGATCCTGATCGATGGCGTCTCAACGACGACCCTTCCACTAAGCACGCTGAGGACAAGGATAATCTCCTTGACACAGGAGCCATTCTTCTTAGAGAAAAGTGTGCGGGAGAACCTAGTACCTTGGACGCACACATCTGGCCTTTACGACAAGACAGAAATTGAGCAACAGAGTCTGGCGCCCTCGGACGACGACATGATTTGCGCATTGCAAAAGTGCGGCATCTGGGAGAAGCTAGCAGCAGCAGCGCCAGAGGTTGAATCGGGACTCGCAGTAAGCTTGGCGACGGTGGACAGCTTGCTGAGCGAGGGCGAAAAGCAGCTGTTCTGTTTAGCTCGAGCGATCTTGCATCCAGGCAAGCTCGTACTTTTGGACGAAGCCACAAGCCGGTAAGTTCTTGGCGCTTTGCCTTGCCCATTTCTAATCCTCGTACCTAATCTCTTTCTCGGGTTTTATTTTACACCTGTCTGCTAAATTGTTCTTGTGCTAACCACGTGTACAATAAAATCAGTGTTGATGCCAATACCGACGAGCTCATGCAGGAAATTCTCCGCACCGAGTTTGCAGATAGGACAATTATTGCCATTTCCCACCGCCTGGCTGCAATCATGGATTTCGACCGCATAATCGTCATGGATCACGGCGGCATCGCTGAAGTCGGATCACCCAAATCTCTAATGGCTATACAAGACAGTTTGCTCCGCGCACTGGCCAAATCGCAGCAGCTCGTGGTTGATAAAGATCTTATTTAGTTAACGTACCTCACGGGTAAGCGGCGCACACAATTTCACACCAAAAATTACAATTTTGACACCTTAATAACATCTCTAATTCTTTGCAATAAATCCTAAGACTTTCTACAGTAGTTCGCATCTATACTCTCTACAGGTTTTTGGAGCTTGCTAAGCTGTATCTACTCTAGTAAAGAAGTTATTAGAGGGAAACTAAACTATAGAGATTATGTTGCTCCACTTTTTTATATCTCTAGAACTACTGTAGCTGAAGCTTAGTAATCCTTATAGTCCAAAGCTAGAGTATGAAGTACTAACAAGTTCAAATTTTAGAGAATTCGATCCACTAGATGAAGAGTTATTAAGGTCTAGATTGTTGGTTTTCTCTAGTGAAATCAAGTGCGCCTCTCACCTGTGTGCGCCGCTCACCCATGAGGTACGTTATAGTTACTACTTAACGTAGTTCACAAGCGAGCGGTCCAACCCAAGCGAGCGGTCCAACCCAAGCGAGCGGTCCAACCCAAGCGAGCGGTCCAACCCAAGCGAGCGGTCCAACCCAAGCGAGCGGTCCATCCCAACCATGATAGCCTAATAACTACTTTGCATTACAATACTATCCTAACACAATATGCAATTAACCTATACTAAAGGGACCTTACAGCTTACTATCTAAGCTATAATTAAAGATTATACTAAGAGTAAAAGACACGCTATTACAGCCTTTAGCATACCTTAAACTACTGTCTGCTAATAACACTAAGGAGCCCTCTCTTAACATAATTACAAGCCTAATTTAAAGAAGCTAAGTAAACTAGAAGAGGAGGCCCTTGTACAAAGTATACTTGAGCTTGATACAAGAGGAATACCTGCTACAAAGGCTATAGTGCGAGATATGGCCAATGATCTGCTTGCTGAGCGCGGTGGAGAGCCTGTTGGCAAGCACTGGGTAGACAACTTCAAGACGCGTACGCCTGAGATCAAGCTTTGAAGGAGCCATCCATATGATCGCCAGCGAGCCCTTAACGAAGATGCACGCGTTATAACGCCCTAGTTTAAGCTAGTTGCTAACACAAAGGCCAAGTACAGCATCACAGACAAAGACATATACAACTTTAACAAGACAGGCTTCATAATAGGGGTTATCTATAGCTAGATAGTCTTTACAGGCTCTAAGAAGCGTAGCACAAAGAGCCTGCAGCTAGGGAACTGTAGTTAGGTCACTAATATACAAGGAGTTAACGCTAAAGGATAGGCTATCCTACCCTTCCTTATCTTCCCTAGCAAGGTCCTTATTACCTTATAGTTTTACAATCTACCTTAGGATTAGGTAATTAAGGTTAGTCCTAATAGCTAGACGTTAAATAAGCTTAGTATTGCCTAGCTAAAGCACTTTAATACCTATACAAAAGACTAGAAGGTGGGTGCACACAGGCTGCTAATTGTGGACAGCTATAAGAGCCACAGCTCACATAAGTTCCACAAACACTGTGAGGAAGAGAAGATTATTATTCTCTATATGCCTGCTTACTTGTTGCACCTGCTGCAGCCACTTAATGTAGGTTGCTTTTTGCCTTTAAAGTGGGCATATGGTGATAAGATTAGTGGCTTAGCACAGTACAGCTCTAAGTAGATTAAGAAGGAGGCTTTCCTACCAGCCTTTAAAGCAGCTTTTAAGAGGCTAATTATAAAGGAGAACATCTATGCAGGCTTTAGGGGTGCTAGACTAGTTCTACACAACTTAGAGGCAGTAATATTAAAGCTTAATATAGTCCTTTGTACGCTAACTCTACTAAAGCTAGAGGACACCCTATAGGAATTAAAAACTCTAAGCAACCTCTATAAGATAGAGGCTTAGTTAACACTAGTTTGTGAGCGTGTACAACTGCACAGAGATTCCCTAGTTTCTCCTCTGCTTAGAGCAGTTGAGCAGCTGAACAAGGGCATTGCATGGATAGGGCATGATAGCGTGTTAATGCAACAGGAAATAGCACGGCTTTGCAAGGCATTAGAGATAGCAACAGAGGTTAGAGGTTAAAAGAGGAAGTATATTCAGGCAGCAGAGAGTCTTACGGTAGGTGAGTTAGCTGATTTAATAGCTAAAAGGGAGGGTAGTAGGCAGCAGGGGGGCAGAGAGCCTGCAAAGAAGGTGCGCACACAGAGGCGTTGCGGACGTTGTAGAGAGACTAGCCATAACACTTGCACCTGTGCAGTTGAAATTGTAGTAGATGCATCTAATAGCAACAAGTCTAAATAGTATCTCTATCACCTGCAAATTGCAGTAAGTGGTGGTGGTGTTGCAGCATATACATTGCAATCATCTTAACTCTGTTAGGTGGACCACTCGCTTGGGTTGGACCGCTCGCTTGTGAACTACGTTATATAAAGAAATCAGGTAACGTACTCCACAAGCGAGCCTCTCACACAAGCGAGCCGCTCACTTTTGCCAAGACTACACCTAACTTCAACTTCTCTTGCATGTTATAGTAAGTTACTGCAACTTTCTGTAACTTACAGTATCCAGCACTAATCTACAGTATCTTGCGCATCTTTTATGCACGTTTGCGTGTTGTTCCCTGCCTTACCACACATGCCACAGCGTTGTGAAGACTGTGTAGCTAGTTCAACCCGCCTCTTCTTGCTTGCCTTCTTCCTATCACTACAGGCTTTGATCTCCTTTAGAGTAGTTAAGCACACTCCTTTACTGACAGTAATAGTCCCCTCCCTCAAGATATGCTTCCCCTTGTGTGATTTACAGCGTATGGCATCCTCATTAGTACTTAAAGCTCCACAACCTAGTTGTGTAACGACTATGCACGAACACGACACGTGGCATAGCGCTCATAGCAGCTAGAGGTAAAGTTAGCTGGCTAGCACTAATATTGTCTATATATATTAAACTACGCAACGAATACTTGCTTAAGCATTCTTGTGCTTACCTTTTGGTATAGGCAGAGAAGTCACGTAGTATTGATTTCGAGGGCAGGGCGCGTACTCTGTTACGAGTTGCACACTAAAACTAGTAAATGTGCCATTATCGCTGCGCCCTTAGTAAGCTAATTAAGAGCATTAACTATTAAAATTAGTGAGCTATCTCTATATTGCGAAACCCTTTTTAAATCAGCTTTAATTGCAACCTAAACTCTAGGGTATTCCTTAGGGTGTAACAGAGTAGTCGCCCTGCCCTCGAAATCAATACTACGTGGCTCCTCTGCCTATACCAAAAGTTAAGCACAAGAATGCTTAAGCAAGTATTCGTTGCGTAGTTTAATATATATAGACAATATTAGTGCTAGCCAGCTAACTTTCCCTCTAGCTGCTATGAGCGCTATGCCACGTGTCGTGTTCGTGCATAGTCGTTACGTAGGGTCTAAGAGTGCGATATACTCTTATCTACAGTAGGTAGTAGCAGAATACATAGGCACACTACAAGCTTTGATATCACAGCGTCTAGATAGCTTAGCAACTATAGGCCTTCTTTATTAGGGCAAAACAACCTATGTCAATTGGCTGCAAGAGGTGTAATAAATGTGGAGGCATATATAAAGCACTAATCTTATATTCCTTGTAGTTTTAGTAAAAACCGACTAGGTTATTGCTCTTATAGCTGTCTAGAGTTAGTAGCTAATATCTGCCAACAGTGCGCTCATTTGCGTACTTATTAAAGTGCTTTAGCTACTTAATACTAAGCTTATTATTAGTCTAGCTGTTCTAAGGGACAGTGAAAATCTAGTTATGAGGTAAAGACAGCTCCTTGTACTAGGCAGAGATGTGGTGCTTGCCTTAGAAGATAATAAAGGGTAGGATACTCTACCCTAACACATTAATGCGCTAGACAATGCTAATCTACTCTTAGTTGCCCTATTATACTGTTTTTAGCTTTCCTTACTGCTCAGAGCCTGTAACCACAGCTCCTGTTAATATAACACCTATATTAAACCTAGACTTGTTAAAATTATACGTGTATTTCCTAAGGATACTATACTTAGCTTTAGTGATCTGTACTGGGCAGAACTAACCCTAAATTTCCTTAGGATCCTTACAGAGGGCTCTCTTATAGTTGTACTTTTAATTAAACTTAACTATAAGCTCTAGGTGATGCTTAAGAAAGTTGACAGCCTAGTTCTTGCTAACAGGAGACTGGTGGCGCTAAGTGAGTAGAGAGTTGGCCATATTCTCTACATCAGTAAGCTGGGGTGGGTGTAGGCTGGCGGGTGGGTATGCTTTAAAGTCTTGTTTGGGTAACCCCCCTAAATCAACCAATATTAGGCTAATTTAGGCGAATAAGTCCTCCTTTTAAAGAGAATTACATGTGATTTATTTCTCTTATATAACTTTTCCTTGTAATTCTTATAGTACAGCTGCTAAATCTAAAAGACAGTAAAAAAAGGGGGGATACCTGGCGAGCATACCCATACTAGGTAGGCTTTTGCTAGGTAGTAGGCTCAATAACTCAGTTAATACTAGGCCAAATTAGGTAGTTTTTTCTAATAGAAAGCGCAATACTAGGCACATCTATCAAAATATACATTACATAAGCATATCTCTATATTGTAACGACGCAGGCAAGAAGAGAGATATCCGGAACAGGTGTGAATCCGCTGCGTGGCACATGGTAGTGCTGGGATGATAAGAACACTAGGATATATTCTCTACACCTATAGGTCTTATACAAAGGAATACAGAAAAAATTACTCTACAATTCTACAGTTCCTAGCTCCTTACATAGGGAGGTTTGGAGGCAGTTTAGTGCGACCTTATGCCTTGCGACAAGAGTCATGGTCATGAGTCGCTGGACCGTACCTTAGTAGTATCAGGTCATTATTGGCAGCGCGTTGTTACAGTTATTGTTAATTCTAAATGCCTAATCGGCCTTACATTGTACACCTTAAACAAGCGGCTGCGGTATAACGACGGGGATTTTAGCCGACTTAGGCAAAAGCTGGAGGACTTTTGAGAGTGTGGACGCTATAGCTGTGATACTTTTATGCGAAAACGTTCTTGGAGAATAGCATAAGCTGATTTCGACTTTATCTGATCGTTCAAGAGACACACTAAGGTCAAACTATAGAAGAGCCGTTAGATTGAATCGCTTTGACACAAGACTGTTTTTTAATACCTCTGTGTAAGATTTCCTGCCGATGAGGGATAAGCGGACGGTGTCGTTGCTGATGCTGTCGAGGTGCAATGGGCGAAAAAAGACGGCAGTGTTGAAAAGGCGACGTCCCCGCATTCCAAGTGCGTCGTAAACGCTGCCGAGCGAGGTTGTTTGGTGAGCTGTGCCGGCCAGATACTGTGTTTGGATCCCTTTAATAAGCTCTGCGAGCGACTGTGAAGAGCCTCGTAACTGTGTACGGCAAATCAAGGTATTGATGAGTGGTCCCATGATGCTTTCGACGCGTTCGATTGGCAAATCCCGCCCTGACGTCACGTAGCCGAATGAGACGTCCTTGCTTTGCGTATAGCTCTGAAGGACGATGGCCCAGGCTGCTTGTATCACATTAAAGAGGGTGACATTGAGCTTCCGGCAAAAGGCATGGAGGACCGACGACCGTATGTTGGGTACAGGTACAGTCACTTGGATGGAGCTTGATTGCTCAGAAAGAAGTGTCGATGGCGTGGGAAACAAACATGGCTGTGCCCCTGCCAGCAGCTGGGTCCAGTACTGCAAGTGGGCCTCGCCGCTGTCGCGTTGAAGAAAGGCAATGTAATCACTGTACTTTGGTGCCGGTGTCCGTGGTAATTGACCTGTATACGCACTGGCCAGATCCCGCATTATGATTGCTACTGAAAAGCCATCAGTAAGGGTATGGTCGATTTCAAGCCGGCAGTGAACACTCTGACGATCCTTCGAGATGAGACTGAAACAATGTGCCGGCCGCCTTTCTGAGAATTCAAGTGCAGTTATGCGTTCACCGAAGCTTTGCAGCTCCTGTACATCCGCCATAGCGTGAAAGAGCACGATCTGGTCAGAGAATCGCCCATACTCAACGCTCTCAACAAATATGGTCCGTAAGATGGCATGTCGATCTACCACTTGCTGCCAAGCTTTGCGGACCAGTCTCAGATCCACGCAATCGCCGTCCCGCACAGACTCAATAGAAATGGTCGCAACGACGTTGTAGTCTGGCGCCGAGGGCACCAGCTTGCTGAGCTGGATGCCCTCCTGGATGGGCGCGCACGGGTAGATGTCTTCCACCTCGGAAAGGTCAATGTCCGCCTCTTCAAGCTTCTCCTCCAGAAAGCTATCCAGTTCGTCATCGTTCATCCTCAGGAGAGAGAATTTTGGCTCCATAGCTTCGAGAGTGATGGCTCTCACAAACGTGTTGGCAAATGTCACCTTACGCAGGATGATGCAACTTATCTAAATCGGAGTAACCGTGAATGCTTCCAGAGGCAGGCTTAAAAAGAAGAAGAAACAAAAATCATGTCGAATAATATTGCTAGTTTATCAAGATCCGTAGACAGGGACCTTTGTAGGCATATATGAAGATAACTAGTTAGAGGAGACCGTACTATTCTAATTGCCGATGGAAGGATCCACACTACTAGACTACAACTTGCTAATAACTCCGGTAAAAGAGACCCTCTTCTTCTCTTTTAGCGGATAGTAGCTACAGGAACTCTTTTTAAAAACATTTCTATAGAAGTAAAAAAAAAAGCTTAGGAAAGATAAATAGAAACTATACCAATCTACCGTTTAGTAGCGTAACACAAATAATAGGGATTTGCTTTAGATCTTACATCCTTTATAATAGGGAATCAATAAAGCTACAGAACACTATTCCTAAACTACCGAGTATTTCAACGCTTAGTAATACGAAGTAGCTTGTCTAACAATATTACTTTAGAGAATAGGGACCTTTACTTAGCGCAACAAAGCACTTAAGGGAAAAATTTAGACAAATAACTTATAATATTTTAATAGCTACCTGACTAACAACAGATGTTGTAATAAAAAATAAGCTTTAGATCTCTTGTAAATAAAAGGAGTTAACATAGGCTATTCAAGTACTTAGTCAGCTATATTAAGTGATAACGCTAGTTGCTCTAGGTAGAGTCGACTTTATGTGAGCTTGAACAAATTGGCGAAGTGCAGGGATCTGAAAATAGCGACATTCTCCTATTTACCGTGTATTGCCGACCACTCGGGCATGCAGCGGCTATGCTTGTAAAGAAAGGACAGGCGGAAATTTCGGTCCGAAGGATTGCTACAGCTTGGGGCTGATTTGCCGTCAATGGATTTCTCCAACGGATTGCAGGCCCCGGATTTCCGCGACTCACCGTATTCAGTTCCCTTAGGTTATCACAATTTAATGAGATAGCTTGTTCGAGTCCCAATCCCCTCTTTTACTCTCAGCAACTGCTTCTACCACGCTCACGCGCGTCGGAAGAACTCGGACCGCACCTCAATTAAGATGAAGGCTATAAAGATCCAACCAGGCGCTACGGCAGCTGTTATGGATGTGCCGGTTCCGCGGCTTCGTCCAGATTGCGTCATCGTCAAAACCGTCGCTGTCGCGCTGAATCCCGTGGACTGGAAACACATCCATTTCGTCCCTAAAACCGAGGGTTGCACCGTTGGATCCGACTTTGCGGGTGTGGTACGGAAAGTGGGTGCAAATGTCTCGACGTTCAGACCTGGCGATCGCGTAGCTGGATGGACGCACGGAGGCAATGTCAGTAATCATGAAGACGGGTCCTTCGCTGACTATGTCTTGGCGAAAGAAGGGGTTATGCTTAAGATTCCAGATGGTGTGAGCTTCACAGAGGCCGCAACATTGGGGGTTGGCATATCAACGGTTTGCCAAGGTCTATATCAGTCCCTTTCCGTACCACTACCGAATGAGCCACTCCAAGAGCGCCTGCCCTTGCTCGTATATGGTGGAAGCACTGCGACTGGTACACTAGCCATCCAATTTGCTAAGATGTTAGGCCCCCTCTCCCAAAACCATCAATATAAAGATCTTCCCTCTATAATGGATCATATACAGCTAACACAGGGTGTATTTAGGTCCGGCCTCGACGTTATTACAACATGCTCCCCGCAACATCATAGCATGGTCGAATCACTAGGTGCTAAGGCAGTATTCGACTACAAGTCACCCACTGTCGGTAAACGTATACGTACATATACGGACAACAAATTGTACCACGCCTTTGACTGCATCTCCACTGACGCATCTGCACGCATCTGCGCCGACGCGCTCTCTGATGACGTGGCAGTGAAGACTCCCATATACAGCTCCGTTCTATACTGTGCATTTCCACGCCAGGACGTTCATGTAAATGTCACAGTGGCCCATACTATCTTTGGAAAATCCTTCTTCAAGCCTGGACTGGGGCCCGAGGACTTCCCTGCCAGCGACGAGGACTACGAGTTTGGCAAAAGGTTCTGGCAGATTAGTGAGAAGCTCTTAGCGGAAGGCAAGTTCAAAGTACATCCTCCTGATGCTAGAGCTGGCGGACTTGAGGCTGTATTGGAAGGTCTGAACGAAATTATGCGCGGCGAGGTCAGTGGGAAAAAGTTGGTGTTCATGTTGTCTTCAGCTGGGCAGGATGGCGTCACGAAATCATAGACATGGAAAATTGTTGCGGCAAACGTAGCCGCTGTACATCGATGGAAAACTGCGCTGAGTTGCTTGCTAGCTAGGAGGCGACCATATATACATGCCCTGAGACGTGCTAGTCCAAGGTAGTCAACAGAGGTGACGATCAAGGCCTGTCGAACCGACTTGCACCGCAACAAAAATTCTTGCTTGAAAGCTCAGTATGATAACTAGATATAGTAGTCCTTTTTTCTTTCTATGACAAAGGTTCTCATTTTGAATACATAACGTTCATGTTCCTGCATGCTAAACGGAAAATAGTAAATCCATTAGCCGTTTCTTGTCACAACGGCAGTATTTCGCAAATATTATGGGCATGAGGTAATAAAAGAGATTTTCAATTTCTTTCGACCATCGCTAACGCTTCTAGAGCACATTATAAGCGGAAAGATAGCTGAATTAAACATAAATAACCCGCCCATTGAAAAGGGTATAACAGCCTCCCCGGCCCTTCCTAGGGCACGTCCTTTCTTGACAATGTTCCTTGCAAAGCTATTTTTATTCGATTATTTTAATTGCGCATGTAACGTCTGTCACTGCATGCCGAAAAACCTTGTGTGCCGAAAATGACCAATCGGATCACAACGGCTAGGCAGAAGTCCGCGATCCTTCGAATCCGGTTGGTTATTTTCGGCACATAGGGTTTTTCGGCAAGCAGTGACAGACGTTAATGTTTCATCTCGTGCAGAATTCTCGGAATATCTGCGTACGCTAGACAAGCCCCTGAACCTATTGTGCAGAAGGCAGAAATCAAAAATAATCCTTTCCATCTCTTTGGCGCATACATCGACCTAGCGCCCGGTGCGATAATAATGACAAAAAGATACTTGCCACTTGACCGTCCGAAGCTTCTCGATAGCTGAAAGCATAGGTCCAAATGTTGATCGAGCCCCGATTACTCGGGGTCTTCGTGAACATAATTCTCATACAGAGGTTTTCTCGCCGGATCATCCGCCCATTCACGTAGCGCTTTGTAATCGCGGCAGCGCGCCTGCTGGTTGATAGAGATATGAGGATCACCAGGATGTATGAAAGAGGCTACCTGTGCGTCTGCAAAGCACGAAACTGCCTCTCGCAATACATTGACACAATGTGCGAAGTGATCAGGCCCCCATCGTGCCTCTGCCGAGCGCCCATGCAGGGCTTTACCGTACCCGTCTGTAATGACTGACTGTTGTAGTGTGAGAAACAACGGTTAGCTGGAATGTATCCCTGGTTGCTTTACATGAATGAGAGTTCGATACGTACTATGCAGTGCATTTGGTGGAAGGCGCGTAAAAAGTAAACCGGCATCTTGTGTTGGCCCTGATAGACGGTGGTGGCGCGGAGGTCATGTACATGTCCATCGGCGTCGAGATAGGTTGTATTTATTCCATGGGTTTTAATCGCGGCTAAAGTCATAACGAGTTAGGTGTCGGTCCCGGCTAGGAAAATCGAATAATCGTTTAGGGACGTACGGTTATCAAGCTCAAGCAATCTCAGCACTGTATCTTCCGTTGCCTTCAGGCTGTCAAACACATCTTCTTCAACGTAGTAGGGATCGTCCTTGCCACCGAACATGACCCATTTTAGGGATTGGCCCAAATCTTTTTACAAATCAGCTATCCAGAAGATCCCTCTGCGCGAGCGATGCCTCTAACTCACCGGCAGGTACCCATCCAAATGGATCAACTCCCAGAGCGACGTCAGCGGCATGTAGGCCATGATCATCATGTGGGATCTCTTTATCCAGAGGTTGTGACTGAGAATCAGCATGCATGTGCATGCCCACATGTACAGTGTAAAGAATCGTTGAAACGAGAGTTAGCAACAAGAAGATGGTGATTATTCTAAGTCGGCGGTATTTTCTCTCGTAAGAAGTCTTATTACATGCAGAGATGGCTTCTTTCTCCGCTATGTCCTCCGATTCGGTAGACGGGCGTGCCCCTAGCGCCGTATACTCTGTCTTGGTCTTTTTAAATGGCGAAAATGAAGCCATGAGAGATGCTCTCAAAAGTTAATACGATAATAATGGATAAATTGAAATTTGCCAGGACCGAGCGAAGTGGGGAAGCATGTGTCCTTATATAAGATTTAACAGTGCTAGTCCTGCCGGTTCTTTCGGTTTTTGCTAGGAGTATTGCGAAGAGATTATATCCGGTAGTTCGGCAATTCGGTAGAATCGATGTTGGCACGTAGCATTTGCCTTGCGGATATTTTACGGGCTGTTGCGAAGTTCTCGGCGCTTTGCCTCTGCACAAGGATAATTTCGCTAAGCACAATATCTTGAAGTGGTGAGTTTACAAGGCGCGACAGGTCGAAGCCAGCACACGTAGGGTTGACGGGTGCATAACCGCTCATTGATATTGCCGGTTACACTTGACCAACTATAATATGCAGTGTGAAAGAGAAAATATTTCTGATGAATGTCGAAAGCACAAAAGAGCGTAGATGTTAGTCCATGTCGCTTCCACGATAGCTCCAAAACTCGTTTAAGGTCCACACTATCTGAAAATGCGAGATTGTCTCGAACAACATGCTTGTCGTCCGAAAATGTGCTAGTTAAGTTTGGCACAATGCACTGCTTAAAAAGATTTTCCTGAAACTGACTCCGGCTGGTAATACTTTCTTGTTGCTCAAATTGTATATCATACATCTAGAGTGACTGACACGGTAAACATAGTTATGGAAGATCTTACGCTCGCCTCTCGGCATCAGTGCCTCACATACATGCCAATCATTGAATTGCAGCCCGCTTCAGCTTCCGAATCCGACGGTTTCCTCAACAATGCTATCAGCCTGCAAGACGAGCCAAGGTATCGCAGCCGATGCTATATCATTTGCCTTGTTCTCGGCACGGCGGGGTAAGTTTCCGTATATGCCTTCATGATATGGTAGCTAATATTTATTGGCTTGATTAAGCGTCCAAGTTGCCTTCTCCATACAGTTCTCAACTGGCATTGTGTGTTCACTCTCCCGACCATGTTTTGCAGGAAACATGCTGACGTCGACCCCCAGTCCTACTTTGAGTCTCTAGGAATCACCAAGTCTGTTTCCACTCTGATCTGGTTCGTCCCTCCAGTGTGCGGTGCCTTCCTGCAGCCCCTATTCGGCAGATGGAGCGATAAATTCCGCAAACGTAAACCATTTATATCATTTGGCGGTGTGGGGCTCGTCATCGCTTTAATTGGCTATGCTTGGAGCCCCGAGTTGGCCGAGTTATTTCCTGGGCGCAGCCAGCCGCACAAACCGGCTCCAGCGGCTGCTCCGCTCGCTTTGTTCTTCTTCGTCGTGCTCAATGTCTCTGTTCAACCAGTGCAATCGGGGTTGCGTGCGCTGGTCGTCGATAAGTGCCACGCAAGCCAGCAGACGGAGACGAATGCCTGGGCAAGCCGCGTTAACCACGTTGCGAGTATGATATCCTATCTGGCAGCTACGACTGATTTGGCAGGTAGATTTCCTGTTGCTTCTACCCAAATACAGGCTTTGGTTGTTTTGAGCATCATCGTCATTATAGCCTCCTTGGTCGTCACTTGCTGTACGGTGGCAGAATCTCCAAATATTGACCTTGCATCCGAAAGAGGAGTAGCAAGCGCAGATGCAGGAGCTACGTGGAGACTTCTCTCTTCTAGGTTGCGACGCATATACTTGGCCCAGTTTTTTTCATGGTTCGCTTGGTTTCCTCTTCTCGTACAGATTACAAGGTATGTTCTTCCCACATTTCTTGAACCAAGATAGCATATTAATGGGCCTAGTTTCATAATTACTATGAGTGAGCACTATACCATTTGAAAATGTGTTTGTTATGCTAAAAGAAATCATAGACTGCCCCCTTACGCCTCCAAGCAGAATGCCAGACGTGGGAAGAAAATGTGAGGCAGCTGGTGGTGCATCGGCTCTATTCAGTCAATCCTGTGTTGCACTATTAATGGCATTCATCCTGCCCGTATTAACGAGTAGGGCGTCTTCCACTTGGGGAAAGCTGAAACATTTCTCTAACCATGGTCGCGCGGGTTCAGAACACAACGTCCTCCAGGCACTGTGGTTTGCTTCTCAAATGCTTTTTGCGGCCCTTGTGTCCACCGTGTTCTACGAGTCTCGTCTTCTGACAATATTATCTGTTGCTCTTACGGGAATATGTTGGTGTGTGACGCAGTGGGTTCCCTTCGTCCTAGCCAACGAAGAAGTGATCAAGATTGAGGAAAGCAGGAGGCTGGCTGGTATGGAATCTTGTACCGGCGCACTGCTTGGCGCACACAACACCTTTATAGCCTTGCCGCAGATACTGGCTACGGGAGCTTCAAGTCTATTGTTTGAGATGCTGAAAGCTATTGGGCTCTCAGACCCTCTCGGCGACGTTTTGTGGGTTTTCTCTATGAGCGTTTGCATGTCTTTGATATCTGCGTATTTGCTTTGGAGGCTGTAGGCCTACCATAGGTATAACTTTGCAGGTACTCTCTGTACCCCACCAATATGATGCGACGGGGAATACATTCCCGACACTAAGAGTAGCTTGGGGATAGGATATTTCTTCCTAAATTCCACAAAACTACTACTACTACTACTACTACTACTACTACTACTACTACCACTAACGTTACTTCTAGTACTACTACTATAACTATTACTACTACCACTATTACTATAACTCTGCAACTAATCGATAGAATTTTATAATTTTTTTAATACTGAGCTTCGCCTAGGTAAAGGTTTTCACCATAGAAGCGCTAAGCTATTTTGGCATTGTAACAAGAGTTATTAAGCAAAACCCAAAATATATGGATCATTTTAGTATGTAGAATATTCTGCTGAGAAATACAGACAGAGGAGAGGAAGCATAAATACCTCTGCCTCTCCCCTCTGCTCGCTCTGTACCTAGCCAAGGAATCTCTACCTAGTATCCAATATAATAACTTGCCTATTTAATTACATAACCATACCTTACCTCTATTATGCTATACGTAACAGAGTAGGCGCCCTGCCCTCGAAATCAATACTACGTGACTTCTCTGCCTATACCAAAAGGTAAGCACAAGAATACTTAAGCAAGTATTCGTTGCGTAGTATAATATATATTGTAACGACTATGCACGAACACGACACGTGGCATAGCGCGTACAGCAGCTAGAAGCAAAGCTAGCTGGCTAGCACTATTATTTTCTATATATATATTATACTTGTGACAGAGTAGGCGCCCTGCCCTCAAAATCAATACTACGTGACTTCTCTGCCTATACCAAAAGGTAAGCACAAGAATACTTAAGCAAGTATTCGTTGCGTAGTATAATATATATAGACAATAATAGTGCAGGACAACTGTCTGCCAGCAGTATTTGTCCACAACTAACTATCAACACAAACCTGTCCACCTTAGAGAGAGAGGACGCCAGTATGATCGATGATCTGCTATTATTATGCTAGCACACCCTTACAACAGCTCAGCCCACAACAGGCGTCGACAGCCTAGCCTACTAAGCAAACAACTTCGTGTATGCTGTGCTAATGTGTGCTGAAGCTTACCCTGGTACATTACAATACTAGAAGCTACCTTTCAGAAAGGCATAGATGTTGTGTGTGTGCAAGAGCCCTTCACATGCGCTAACTTAGGAACTTCTACCTACCTTAGCTTTATACACCTCGCACCTATTAGCACCTGGGACAGCCTAAACACACCAGGCTCTGCCTGCCCTAGGGTGATGACCTACATCCGCAAAGGACACCACATACAATATCAGGCTAGAGAGAGCCTCAACCACCCAGACATGCTATAGACTGCAGTGAATAGAGTTGCAATACTTAAATGCTACAGATAGCCACACACTCCACACGTCATCCAATACGTCACACGTCTTATTCCCCCTTAACTCTGCCTTGTAGGAGGAGGCATTAACGCTAGACATAAATCCTTTAAATTTACTATCACTGCAGCCAACGGAGGCGTGGAGCTAGCTAAGTGGGCTGCTAGCGCCTCTATGGACTACATTAGTGTGCCAGGGCAGCCAGCACACTGCGCTGGTCATGTCCTGGACCTTACCTTTTCTAACATCCTATTCGCCCAATCCACTGTTAATGATAGCATGCACAGCAGGTTAGACCACAAGACAATAGTAACCTCTCTTCCTATCTCCACAATAAGCACTCTGCACCTAGCACAGTACTACCACAGAGTACTAGAGGTAAGCCTCCTTAAGTTCACTAGGATAGTAGAAATAGGCGTCCAGAGCATTCCAGACCCGCTTACAACACAAGACGCAGCACAGCTAGATGAATGCGTCACGCTGCTTACAGAGACTGTACATGTTGCGGTATGAAGAGCAAATTTATATAACGAGTGTATTGTGTTATATTCTGTTGTTGTTGTTTGTATCTTTGTTCTCCAAGGCTCGCTGCAGGGTTTGTTTTGATGACGTCTTTGTGACGCAGCCAAGGTAAGAGGTGCTCAACAACATGAGGAAGTAGCACCAGACCACCGCCAACAACACGTGATCCGCTTCTCCTCTCAACCGTTACAGTACAGCACTCTGTGCAGACAGTAGGTAAACTTAACTGCAAGGAAGGCCGCGCTGCACTATGGTGGACTAAGGAGTGCAAAACTGCCTACCAGGCCTACAAACATGCTAGACAGCTCTGCTCTGGCAGTCTACAAGAGGAGAGACAGGCCTTCAAGACTACCGTCCAACAGGCGAAGAGGCAGTACTAGAGGCATGTTATTAATAATGCCAAGAACAACAAGGACCTGTTTAAGATTATTGCCTAGCATAAGCTCACAGTAGAGAACTAAGACACTCCTCTTATTGTGGACAACAGGACGATATCAGACCCCCTAGAGAAGGCAGAGGCTCTTCAAGAGCAAGTCCTCAACCAGTACACATGTCAGATATTGGGTTACTGGTGAAAGGTTGGCAGGGCCGGATCTGTACAGAGACATCACTCGGAGGTCTCAGCCGAGTTCACCAAGCAAGGCAGGGGCCCACAGACTAAGCCTAATGATCAGCAACACGCTAGATTGAGGTTGCTAAGCATGTAAAAGAGGGGTAGCTAAGCGATTCTAGACTACTAAGACAATACCTTAGCTAATAATAATAGAAAGGCAGGTTAAGAGTACATAAGACTAACCTGTTTTATCAGTGAGCGCCCCACCTCAGTGAGCGCCCCACGAACACCAGCGAGGCGTACGCGCAGTGACGTAGCTTAGCACCACAACACAAATTTTGTACTCTTGCAATAGCATAGTATTATTTAGAAGTGTTGCTGTTATTTATATCCTTAATTTCTACCTTACAGGTGCAAGAGTTGTGCCTAATCTTACTGCAACAGCTGCAGCGTTGCCCTGCGCGCACCCTCTTTGCTAGCTCCTTACCCTCCTCACATCTGCCACCCTCCCTTTTAGCAATTAAGTCTAATACCTTGCTAACTATTTATGTCTCCTCTGCCTGTATGTAGCATCTCTTGCAACCTTTACACTTTATTATTGCTTTAGTAGTAGTATTAAGGCGCACTATCTCTGCGCGCATTAGCACTATCTTATAAGCTATCTACTGCGCGCCTTTTATTAGCTGCTACACCTGCTTATTAAGTAAACTTACTAGAGACCCTTAATAGATTTTTATCCTGTTTTAAACTAGTGTTAATTGCGCCTCTATTTCTTTAGCGTTGCGTGGTGTTTTTGCCTCCTAGGCAGCGTTAACTTGCTGTGGTGGAGTTTGCGTACGCAGCTGCATATCTAGCTTTAATAACACAGCTTGTAGATTATGTAGAGATAATCTAGCGCCTTAAAACCCTGCGCAAGCATTCTCTCTTGTAAACACCTTCTTAAAAGCTACTATAAAGGCTAGTAAGAAGGTCTGTTTGCTAATATATTTAATGCAATCATGTGCTAAGGCTAAGATCTAATCACTGTACGCGCGCTTTAATAGCAAGAAACAGGCAACATCAAGCAGCTGCAGGAGGTGCGACGAGTGTAGAGGCATATAGAGGGCAATAATCTTCTTCTCCTTGCAGCGATCCTAGAAATCTATTAAGCAATAGCTCTTGTGGCTGTTAATAATTAGCAGCCTATACGCACCTACAGGCCTTACATGCGTATTAAAGTAATTAAGCTAGGCAAGCGCTAGATTGTTGTTTGTCTAGCCTGTTAGGCTTACTTAAATAACCTAATTGCGTAGGAGGTCCTTAGTAAACTAGTTAGAGATAAGAACCTTGCTAGCAAAGATAAGGAAGGGTAGGATAACACGCCCTGTTACGCTAACGCCCTATATTAACATAGTCTACTTACAATTACTAGGCTAAAGCTTCTTTGCTTTCCTAGGTTTCTCTATACCTGTTATAACAAGTTATAAAGATATCTTGCCTATTAGGAAGCTAGACTTATTAAAGTTATATATGTTATTGTCTATAATACTATACTTTGCCTTTATATTCTAAACTAGCGTGAACTAGGGCTTAATAATTGCTAGGTCTTTGCAGAGAGCTTGCTAATAATTGTATAGATGAGTCTAGCGCGTGCGCAGCTTAGGTGTACGCTTAATAAACCTGTCAACCTAGCATTTACTAACAGGCTTACTGCTGCAGTCGCACAGCAGTCTATCAGCTATATCTTGTACGTGTAGCTTTAAGGACAGTACTCCACGTAGGTTCTTGTCAAGTATATGCTGCAGAATTACCTCCTCTTCTAGCTTTGTTAGGCGCTTTAATCTAGGCTCACACTTGTGTCTAGAGGGCTTCCTGTTACGTTGTTATTGTATTATCCTACAAGGAACACTGTAGACTGCCTTAGCATGTTGCAGGCTTGTAATCTAGTTGTATTTAATGTTAGAGAGGGCAAGCTGCACGTCAGCTTTAGTATAGGGCTTGTGAGGTTGTGGTTGTTGAGACATTACGCGTTGAGTGTCGCGCATGCGCTTTGCTGGTGTTCGTGGGGCGCTCACTGAGGTGGGGCGCTCACTGATAAAACAGGTTAGAGGAGAGACACAAAATAAAGAGCACAGAGAATACACATAATTTTACTACCTACAATCTTGTTAAGTTTATACTCTAACAACAGTACAAGAATCTAATAATTAAGAGTCTTACTGCTAAAACTAAGCTAGAACAATGTTAATCCTTAGCACACCTACTATTGTACTCACTAACTATACAATGTACACCCCGTGGCTACGCCAGCTAGAGATACGCTGTGTCTCTCTGGACGTGTGGGATCAAATTAATCCTGATCAACTCACGCGCCTAAAGTCAAAGCCGCAGTTACCAGCTGCGCCAGATCTTACGACATACAAACAGAGAACAACACTTAGCAACAATAAGGACAGAGAGCTATTGCTACCTAAAGAACTATCAGAGCTCTTATTAAAAAGACTAAGGCATAGAAAGAAGACAACAACTACTAGAAGAGCTATCTTAAGTCATACAAGATAGCTAACTAAGACTATCGTGAGGAGCAAGCTAGTCTTAACAAGGTAGTAGTATTCATCTAACACTCTGTCTCAATACACCTTATAAAGAACTGCTATAAGCTAGGTGAAAAAGTAAGATCATGGCTCACTAGCCTTAAGCTGACTGTTGGCATCAACGCTGATAAAGAACAACTACAAGCACAACACTAATATCTTGCTGCACTTAAGCCTATAAGGCTCCCAGGTAGCTAGAGTACCTAGCTTGCTGAATACGATCACGCTGCAATAAACGCAGAGGCTGAGAAGGTAGCAGAGACACAGAACATACAAGACATTATTTAAGACTTTCTTAACTTAGTAATGTAAAGTTATAAGACTTTGTTCTTATAATCTTTCTCTAGCGTATTTCCTTCTTAGGTATAGCGCTATGCTTACCTAAGCATTGTTATTATAATCTCCAAAAAGAGAGGATTAGAATGGTGTGCTTACAAAGCCTGTATCTCCTCTTGTTCTTAAGATATGCTGTTCTCTATTTTTAGTAACTAGAAATGTTCTAGACCCTCTGCTTACAAATAGAGTAGCCTACTCTGTAAGATGCTGACGTATATGATTACGCATGCACCTATGTAATCTTGCTTGCATATGCAGCAATACTAAGCATAGATAAAGTAGACCTACCTAGAGGAGTCTAGAACGTTCTGCTTAGAAATACAGACAGAGGAGAGGAAGCATAAATACCTCTAGCTCTCCCCCCTCTGTTCGCTCTGTACCTAGCCTAGGAATCTCTACCTAGTATCTAATATAATAACTTGTCTATTATATTACATAACCCTACCTTACCTCTATTAGGCTATACGCTTCCTATTTAGACAAAGCTAGTCTAGATTTGTCTAGGTCCTTCTAGACTAGGAAGAAAGTAGTCTAGTCCTTCCCTTACTTTCTTTACAAGTAATAAAGATAGCACTAACCTAGGCAACTACGTTCTAGGACTATAGTTAATAAGAAGATAATATTACTTGTAAATATATAATAAAACGCTTCTAAGAGCATATAAGCAAGTACCACCCTACTAGTAGGGGGAGATAATAGAGTGGCGCCTCTGTTGCAGGGAACGCCTTATTCCTCGCTGACAGTAGTGAAACCACCTAGGGCATAGATAGGGACGCCTTAGGTATTGCCAATAGCGCATTATCCTAGGGAAGACCTTATTAAAAACAAACTATTAGGTAATATACTATATCTACGCAGTCCCTTAAGAGGGATACAGTAGCAGCTAAAGGAGTAACACGCCCTGCCTGTAAACAACGCCATAGACTAGAAGATTACTACTATGTCTATTAAAATAGAGCTCAAGAATAGCTTACACTATAGCAAGGAATAGCTGCAATAGTATAACATAGAATAGAGCACAGCACTAACTTACAAGATTAGCTTTAACCTGGAAAGCAACCCTACATAACAACTCTAAAAATAAAAATATCTGAAATACCTAAGACTACTAAGCAATAACTTGTAGGCAGGAGGGTTACCTCTATTAAGGCAGTGTTCTACTTAGCAATAAGTAAAAGAGATATTAACCCCTACCTACTAAGAAACTCCTTTATTCTTAACTTAGGATTAACATGCTATATTACCAACAGCCCTAATAGAGTCCTTAGCTTCTGTCTCCTATTACTAGGAGACTGTATATAGGCCAGCAATAATAAGGTAGAAATTAAAGGGTACAGCACAGTTAACCTAACCTTCCACAACATAGCTAGGCACTACAACCTATTACTACACAACGTAGCCTTATGCCTAGACATTCTATGCAACATAGTATCCTTCCACCTACTACAATAACAAGGCATCTAGTAGAATACTCAGTTAAACCCTACAATGCTACAAGGGCCTAATAATAAGGTTATTAGAAGTCTTACTAAGATTATTAGACAATAGGTGCTTAAATACAACCTGCTTCTACCTGCTTTATTCTACATATATAAGATTACCTTACAAACAAAGAGAGGACCTTCAAATGCCTTAGCAATGCTATAGCACAAGTAACTTAGTCAACCTAGTCCTGCAGCTATTAAGCACATTATTCAGCGAACTAAGGGGATGCGCATCTAAGGCATTACTACAGTTAAATGCAACGCTTATAGAAGGGCTAAATTGTAATAATAAATTAGCCACGCACTAAGAATCTATAAAGTTAGACCTAGAGAGAGACTTAGTATTAATTTCCACTCCTATAAAGCCTAAGGAGTTACTAGAGAAAAGAGCTAGATGCTTATTACTAACAGGTTCTTAGGCCTACAGTAGGACCTCTACTTTATAGATCATTAAATTACAAAGTTAATAATTAAGGCGCTGTTAATATTTATCCTGTTCTTAAAGAATTACTATAATATCTTAGTTAAGACTATTAAGGTAAATAATAAAATAGCAACAGTTAAACTAGACGTTATAAGATAGCTTACAATATAAGGAGTTATTGTAGAGCCTTTAGCGCCAGACACACAAGCACAGAACAGCAACGCAGAACGCTTAGGGGGTGTAAACAAGGAGAAAGCTTAAGTAATGCAACTTGATGCTACCCTCTCCTAGGAACTGTGGCTAGAAATCACGAGGGCAGCAGTATACCTCTACAATTAAACACTAAACTATGCAAACTATTAGAAAACACTATACAAAATATTCTACACTTAAGTTGCTCTTAGTAATAGCATAGTAATATTACTGCAAAAGCCTAACCTTACGCACTTAAAAGTATATAGGTGCAAAGCTTTTGCTATAATAAGTAGGCTGGCGGATGGGTAGGGTATGCTTTTTTACGTTTTGGCTTATAGCTTCTTAACTAGCAGAGATACGCTTACATAATCTATTATTCGATAGAAGCGCCTAGTATTGCGCCTTCTAATAAAAAAAGAATTAGCTGATTCTACCTAGTATTAGCTAAGTTATCAACACTACCTAGCAAAGTATACCTATTAATAGGTATGCTTGCTAGGTACCCCCCCTTTTTTAACATTTTCTAGCCTCTAGCTTGTGCAGTTTAATAGTTATAACAAAACCTTCTACTACAAAAATGTAGAGGTGGTTTTTCTCTTTCTTTTCAGCCGTAGTTCGCTAGAATCCATGTATTATTGATAAGGTTTTGGGGGGTACCCACGAAGGACGTTGGAGTATACCCATTCCGCCAGCCTACCCCAGGCCTTACCACTAGCAAGCAGCAGACCAAGTGCTTCTGTATCTCTACAGCACGAGGCAGCGAGCCCTGCAGCTTGGAGGAGACACGGGACTACAGGTCGCAAGCGACGCGTTGTTTGCTAACAATACAATAGACCCCAAGAGCTCCTAAGGCTATGCTATCAAGCTTTTTAGTGGACTTATTGCATAGAAGGGATTTTGCTTAGTACTACTAAAAGTGCAACCACAAGGATGCAAACCTTACCTGCTTATGCAGACAGGAAAAGACTCTAGAGCACCCTGCGCTCTGTCGCAAGACGCTGGGGACCTTTAGTAGATAGCCACTACAACTACTGTCACGGTTTTGGAGTCTTTTCTCTTGTACCACGTATCACAGTTTCATATCTCTACTGCTGTACAACGTAGTACACCCTGCCCTTTCCTTTTACACCTCACTGCTATTCCCCTATAACAACAGTCCATAGCTACATACAATACAACCTCAGTTCAATCCTTCAATTCCTTCTGAATATGCGCTGTTCCTACACCGCGACAACTACCTATACCGCCATTAAGTTAGGCAGTCAGCCTAGCGTACACCGCAGCACTAACAAGGGAGCCAGAGGCCTTTGAAGCGTTTATTAGACTCACACAGTACTATAACAGGATCTGCCCCTGCTAGCACTTGCAGCCCTGCAACAGCAACAAGCCATGCAGCATCTAAAAGGCTCAGCTTAACTGCAACAGCTGTAACAATCCCCCACCCCTCCGCCTCCCTTTCTACCGCCTCCCGCCCCCCTCCTCCCCCTACACGCACTCTTTCTCTCTTTCTCTCTCTCTCTTAGCATATGGATGCCTCAAATTTCAAGGAAATTACCCTAATGTACACGCACCACTTAGCCTCCCCAATTAGAAGAGGAGCTGTAGTTCTAAAATAGTAGCAATACCCGCGTAGGCAAGAGATGCTTTCTAAGGTAGTGCGTCAGCACTGTAATTTTATAGCTTAGCACGTTGTATATGCCCTTTGGGAGGCGAGATGGTGGACTTATTCCCTATTATCTAGACGTAAAATGAATAGTTACCAATTAACTAACCAACTAACCCCCCTAACGCCAACGTTATCCTCAAGCGTCTTAGAACACTAACGTCCTTGTCCCCAAAGATACCTCCATAGGAGACAGCACCTGCTGCTGCGCCTACTGAGCCTAGTTGGTTAAAGGCAAAGACGTTGCTTCGAAGTGCTGTGAAGGATCATCGCAGTGCTAAGGCTGGGGCATTAGAACAGGAAATTTAGCAGCTCTATGTTTAAAATGAGCTTATCTTGCATGAGCTACAAGGTATTAAACAAAGCACAGAGGATAAAAAGAGAAGGAAGGCAAAGCAGAAAGTACTGCCTCTGTACTCACGCACTTTGAATTGGCAGGGGGGTGCTGTGTGGTGGAGCCCTCAGTCAAAGCGTGAAGCTGACGTGCGCGACGCTGCAATTGAGAAGTACAACCTAGAACAAGAGGCAGAAAAGAAGACTAGACAAGAGCTGCAGCACCAGACTAGGCTTCTCAGAGAGAAAGAAAAACAAGAGAAGCGTGTGGCGAGAGAAGAAGCTAAGGAGAGGCGTGAGAAGGAGAAGGCTCAAGAAAGCGCAGCAATCGATGCTCGGAAGGCAGAGAGAGAGCGTCAAAAACAAGCTCGCAACGCTCAACAAAGTATCCAATTGCCTAACCAAGGCAAGCGTAAGGCTTCACGTCAATTGCAGCCAAAAACAACAAAGAAGCAGAGTAGTACTACTAGGCGTAGTCAGGTAGTTGCTCGTAGCCCGTCTCTAGCACCTCCACCTACATACAACAGCCGCGGCCGCAAAATTGCTCCACCACAAAAATTTAGGTAGCAGAATCTGTCGCATAGGTAACGTACTCCACAAGCGAGTGGCTCACACAAGCGAGTGGCTCACTTTTGCCAAGACCACACCAAACTTCACTCTACCTACAATGCCTCAACGTAACAACACAATCAAACCCCCAAAGGAAGCAGGAATACAGCTTGCTCTTTAGGCTATCTATCAAGACGCAACACTCTCTTAGCAACGCGCTGTAGCCATCTACAACGTGTCTTAAAGGACACTTAGTTACTAACTTGCTAGAACCTCTCTACAACATGATTGCAAGCCTAATATAATTAAGATAACTAGCACTAAAGAGGAGGTAATTGTCCAGCACGTGTTAAGGCTAGATAAGTAAGGATTTTTACCCTGACTTACTAATGTAGAGGGCATAGCTAATTCTCTGCTTGCTAAGCGCTACTAGACCCCTGTTAGCAAGAACTAGGCTGCTAACTTTGTTAAACATTAGCTAGAGCTTAAAGTTAAGTTTAATTGCAAATATAACTATAAGAGAGCGCTGTGTAAGGATCCTAAGGTAATTAGTAACTAGTTCTAGCTTGTAGAGAATACTAAAGCTACGTATAGTATCCTAGATAAAGACACCTACAACTTTAATAAATCTAGCTTTATAATAGGCATTATATCTACTAGTGCTGTTGTTACAGGCTCTAAGCGTTAAGGGAGACTAAAGACAGTGCAGCAGGGCGACAAAGAGTGGACTAGCATTATCTAAGGCATCTGCGCAAAGGGCTAGTCTATCCCACCCTTTATTATCCTCTCTAGCAAGCACCACCTCTTAGCCTAGTACAAGGAGCCTAGTATACCTAACAACTAGGTTATTAGTGTCTCTAATAACAGCTAGACTAATAATAAGCTTAGAGTTAAGTAGTTAAAGCACTTTAATAAGCACACAAAGGCGCGCACTATTAGTAGCTACTAACTGCTTATTCTAGACGGCCACAAGAGCTACAACTTAGTCAAATTCTACTAGTACTGTGAGGAGCACAAGATTATTACTCTGTGTATGCCCCCACACTTATCCTATCTGCTACAGCCGCTTGACGTGGGTTGTTTCTCCCTATTAAAGAAGGCCTATGGCCGCCAAGCCGAGCAGCTAATGCAGAGCAAGATCACTTATATCACTAAACTTGAGTTCTTGCTGTGCTTTAAAGCTGCTTTTATTGCTTCAATTACTAAGAGCAACATCTACAGAGGATTTAGAGGCGCTGGCCTAGTCCTGTTTAACCTAGAGGCTGTGATATTAAAGCTTAAAGTACAGCTACGCATGCTAACGCTACCTATTATAGACAACAGCACGTAGGAGTCTAAGACACTAAGCAACACCCTAGAATTTAGGTCTTAATTAAAGCTAATTTAAGAGAGGATCTAGAGACACGCTAATAGCTTACTAATATTAATAGTTAACGCCCTTAATTAGCTTACTAAAGGCGCAGAGCTAATAGCGTATTTACTAGTTTTAGTGCGTAACTAGGTTGCTAACCTTTAGGTAGCTAACAAGGCTGCTACACGCTGTAAATTACACAAAAGAAAGCAATTACAGTAAGATAGGGTATTAACCTTTGCTAAGGGAGTGTAGCTAACTACTCTAAAGGAGTTTAAGGCCTGTAGTGATAGGAAGAAGGTAAAGAAGAGAGGAGGCGCTAATAGCAGCACTTAGTTATTAAGACACTATAGCATGTGTAGCAAGGCAGGGCACAACAGAATAACGTGTAAGAAAGATGCGCAAAGTACTATAGATTAGTGCAATATACTGTGTAGTACATGATATTGTTGTTGTGTGCTGTAATGTTGTAAAGTAGTTGTAGTGTTGGTGTAGTCTTGGCAAAAGTGAGCCACTCGCTTGTGTGAGCCACTCGCTTGTGGAGTACGTTATACGTTATAAATCACTCCACCAAAGAAATACATTAATTCAGCTATTGTACGTGGCTCAATAACCTCAATTCTGTGAGCTGCAAAAGGTGGTGAGGTGGCCTGTGAGCTGAACAGGCCCGCGAGGTGCATGGGCACGGTATTAAGGATATCCTTTATGTCAGATATAAGTGGACTTTGGATAAGGGAAGCAAAGCTACAATGTGTGATTGTAAGATGGAGGGAGCCACAAGATGTTGGATCTGCGCAATTGAGCAGGGCCTGTCGCTCAGCCAATCAGCAGTTGCCAGGTGGATTAAGCAAGACCCGCAACTCCTAATTGGCCCACACACAGGCAGCCCCGAGCGGCGCCAATTCCTGCCTCTTTATCCCGTAGCAGTCAGAACATCAGACATCATCATCATCATCGAATAAACAATTATCACCCCGTTGAACACCCGTCTACTCTGATAACTTCAATCTCTGGTGCTAACACCCCTGCTGTGCACTGGCCATGGACTGCTACTTTTGCCGGATACCGTGAGACAGTAAATTAGCCGGCTCATCGGTAAACGGTAAGCCGGCAAATTGCCGGATGCTTTCAAAACCCGTTGCCTGCTGCCGCGAATAACACTAGTGTCGCCAACAGCAATAGTTTAAGTGTACTCGACGTTTGAATAAATACAAAAAGCTGCTAAAGCGAAGTGTTAAGTCCACTGATGTCAGCTATAAGTAGCTAACGAACTAAGGTAATGTGCGCACTCTTATTCGACCTTACAGCTTTGCTAAGAAGAGACAGCCTTCAATTACCATCCAAGGCGCTGCACTAGTCCCTACTACCATTCATCTTGCATACTCGACCCAGCCTTTCTAACAAAGGAATAAAGGAAGAGAAACTTTTCACGTGCGGAGGGTTCTGGGGTTTGTTCATTTCTGGTCGTCAAAGTAGGTTCATATTGCTTTTTTTTTCACCCTCTTACTCCCCTCCTCACATTTGTACCTAGTTATAGTACTAGTGTATGAGAGTCTTCTCGGAAGGTTACTTTGTGCCAAGGAAAATTGTAGAATGTCAGCAATGGAATGTCTGAGTGAGTGAACATTACTGACCTATGGGGTTGTCTAGCGACCGCAAAGCAAGAAATGGAATCAGCGTCTGTATCCGATCTACAACAAATATGGACATGGAACAAGACTGTCCCAGCAACATTTGATGAGCTTCTTCACCGCTTGTTCTCAAAGAGGGCCGATGAGATTCCCAACGCATTAGCAATTGATGCTTGGGACAAAACATTGACGTACGCCGAACTGGATAGAGCCTCAGGGCAGCTCGCAGGACGACTCGTTAAGGCAGGCGTTGGTCCAGAGGTATTGGTTCCTCTATGTTTCGAAAAGTCCGCCTGGGCTATCGTATCGATGCTAGCAGTCCTCAAAGCTGGTGGTGCATTCGTCCCATTAGATCCCAGCCAGCCACCAGCTCGTCGGCAGAAAATCATAGAACTAGCCCGGGGAAAAGTTGCCTTGGTCTCAGCATCAAACTCTGGCATCATTACAGGGGACGACCAAGCAGTTCTCGTTGTGGAACCATCTCAATTTGATGATCAAGAAGACGTAAGTAATTCGTTCCCGAGCATGAGCGCTGACTGCGCTGCTTATGTCTTGTTTACGTCTGGCACAACTGGTATCCCCAAGGGTGTTGTAATGGACCACCGAGCAGTCACATCGAGCCAGATCCATCGAAGAACGCTCAAGGGATACACAGAGGGCTGTCGAGTCTTCCAATTCTCCTCGTATACTTTCGACACTTGTATCGACGAGATTTTCATGACCCTAGGTAACGGAGGCTGCGTTTGCGTTCCCTCTGAAGACGCAAGGATGAACGGACTGGCATCGGCGATTCGAAACATGGCTGTCGAATTGCTAGAAGTAACACCTACAGTGGGTCGCCTAATAGTTCCCAGTGAGGTCCCGTCAATCAAGACCATAGTTTTCGGCGGAGAGTACATGTCCCAGCTCGATTTCGCGCCATGGAAAGAGAGGGCGCGAGTGTTCAACACTTACGGGCCGACCGAATGCTGTGTCGAATGTGTTATCAGCGACGTCACCGGTGAAACTACTCCTGGACTCATCGGGAAAGCGGCCGGATCGAGCTTGTGGATTGTCACACCGGACGACCATAACCGTCTTGCACCTATTGGTGCTGTCGGGGAACTCCTCGTCGAAGGACCGGCTCTATCACGAGGTTATCTCAACGACCCACAGAACACAGCAGCTTCGTTTATCGAAGATCCTCATTGGCTCCTTCGCGGCACTACTGGGTTTCCTGGACGACACGGGAGACTGTACAAGACCGGAGATTTGGTCAAATACGTTAGCAATGGCAGCCTAATTTATGTTGGACGAAAAGATACTCAAGTCAAGATAAACGGTCAACGGTTGGAGTTGGGAGAGGTAGAAGCTCATGTGTCCAAGGTCGTTCCAGAAGGTACGCATGTAATCGCCGACATACTGTCATACCCAGATGGGACCCAGGCTTTGGCGGCCTTTATCCGGTTCCCGGATGAAAGAGCTCTGGAGAATGACACAACCCTTGCGATAATGCCTGGAGCGAGTGATCTGCAGAGTAAACTATTCCAGACTGTTCCGAGATATATGGTGCCAACAGTTTTCTTCAAGAGCCGGAAATTTCCTATGACGTTATCCGGAAAGACAGATCGGAACCTTCTCCGCGAATCAGCTATTGACCTGAAGACGATCGACAGCAGCCTGGAGAAGGAAACCAACAATCATGGGTTGTTACGACCTATCAGCAGCCGGGAGCGGAAGCTCCAGCAAATCTGGGCAACTGTGCTAAAGTTGTATCCACCAAGAATCGGGGCCAATGACAGCTTCTTTGAACTTGGCGGAGATTCAATCGCAGCCATCAAAGTTGCTGGTCTAGCGCGGAAGCAGGGAATCAAAGTTGCTGTCGTTGACATATTCAAGAACCCGAGACTATGCGATCTTGCGGCAAAGTCAACCACTAAATCTACTAAGACGAAAGAAGTTTCGGTTCCACCATTCTCTCTGCTCGAGGATGGCCAACTACTTCGTAATCGAGTCGCAGTGGCTTATAAATTAGACCAAAGCACGATTCAGGATCTCTTGCCATGTACCCCGCTTCAGGAAGGCCTTCTATCATTAACCACCCGTGATAGCGGCGAGTACATGATCCAGAAGGTTCTCCATATTTCCGACGACATTGACGCTGAGAGGTTCTGCATGGCTTGGGAGGCATCAATTGAGCTTCTACCAATTTTACGGACTCGAATGTTTCTTGCATCCGGATATGACGGGATCCTCCAAGGAATCATTAGAGAAGGTGTGCACTGGAAAAAAGTCGACCGCCTAAATGAGTATCTGGAGCTTGACAGGGCTCAGCCTATGGGTCTTGGGGACTCTTTGGCTCGGTATGCACTGGTTGACAACGGAAACGACAGGTGGTTTGTCTGGACGATCCATCACTGCCTTTATGATGGCTGGACAATGCCGCGCATGCTTGCCATGGTTGAACGTGCCTATCAGGGTCTTAGCCAAGTACAGCCTGATACATTTAATTCCTTCGTCAAAAGCTTCTTGAAGCGCAACATTCAGGAGACTCAAGACTTCTGGAAATCATATCTTGCCGAGGCGCAGGTCACACGGCTTCCAAAGCGTGCTCTGAGAACAGGGCCAATACATGAAAGAGGTTTAATGGAAAAGAAACACGCAGTGGCCTTTGAGAACAAGAGAAGCTACGTCCCGTCAACAATAATACGCACGGCTTTGGGTATTGTCCTAAGCCAGCTTACAGGCTCAGACGACGTAATATTTGGGACTACTGTTTCTGGTCGATACTCCTCATTAGACAACATTGAGGATATCATGGGACCAACGATCGCCACTGTTCCAGTCAGAGTGAGGATTGAGGACGCTATGTCGATTGGAGAATTATTAGCTGCTGTGCAGGAGCAGTCCACGACTATGATGCTGTACGAACACGAGGGTCTTCACAATATTGGGAGTCTCAGCCAATCATGCCAAGATGCATGTAAGTTTGAGACTTATCTAATAGTCCAGCAGCAGGAAGACAACTCATCTTTCGAATCTGGCTCCTTGGGCCGGTGGCAAGGAGAATCGGGAACACGCAATCGCTTCAGTACCTACCCTCTCATGATCGAATGCTTCCTGGGAGAAGATGGAATGAACATCCAGGCTCAGTTCGATCAAGAATTAATCTCGCCGCTCGAGATGGAAAGAATGATTGATCAGTTCCATGACGTCCTAAATCAGCTATTGCAGGCCGATTCTTCGCAAAAACTTCATGATCTCAAATCAGCGTCGATGTCTGACGTCAGACAGATTTTCGCTTGGAATGAAGATGTACCCCAGCCCTTCAAACAGTTACTGCACCATCTGTTTACAAAAATGGCAAAAGAAACTCCGGAAGCCATGGCTATCAATGCATGGGATGGGACCTTCACATATTCAGAGCTTGACCAGGCTTCTTCACACTTAGCCAAGATCCTTAAACTTTCAGGCGTCAAGCAAGAAATTATGGTTCCAATTTTCTTTGAGCACAGCAAGTGGGCCGTGGTAGCTATGCTAGCGGTGCTCAAAGCCGACGGTGTATTCGTTCCTCTCGACCCTCACCAGCCAGCCCTGAGAAGGAAGAGGTTACTCGAACAGGCTCATGGTCCAGTCATCATAACATCCACTTTATACGCCGACTTGGTGCATGCCAGCGATCGTGGGATAATTGTAGTCGAGGCTTCTTTATTCGAGTATGCTCAGCTCAAGGCCGACACGCCTCAAGACTCGGATATTTGCACAGATATCAATCCTGAGTGCGCTGCATATATCCTCTTTACTTCCGGGAGCACAGGTGAACCGAAGGGTGTGGTTATGCCACACCGAGCTGTAAGCACCAGCTTGACTCGCCGCACCAAAACCCAGGGATTTGGCCCTGAGTCTCGGGTACTGCAATTTGCCTCCTATACATTCGACGTCATGATAGACGAAATATTCATGACGATCCTATCTGGAGGATGTGTGTGCATCCCCTCGGATGACGCTCGTATGAGCGATTTATCAGGAGCTATCAGAGACCTCGGAGTAAATACTATTGGTGTAACACCCACCGTGGCTCGACAAATCGAACCCAAAGATGTGCCAGGTGTCACTACAGTCATGCTTTGGGGCGAAGCTGTCTCTCGCAATGATCTGGTCCGATGGGGTCGTCTCCGAAATATCTTGCTTTTATATGGACCGACAGAAGCCTGTATCATCTGTGTCCATTTCACCGTAGATGCGGATAATCTTCCATATGCTAGTATGATCGGGAAGACAGTAGGAGCAACAGGTTGGGTAGTCAACGCCCGGGACCACAACCAGTTAGTTCCTATTGGAGCAGTTGGCGAACTCCTAATTGAGGGCCCAGGTTTAGCTCGCGGCTATCTGAACAATGACGAAAAGACACAGGCATCCTTCATCTACGACCCGGAATTCCTACGCTACGACAAGCAATATTCTCAGGAGCGACATGGCAGAAGGAGGCTTTATAAGACAGGCGACCTTGTTAGATATGACGTTTCTGGATCTCTCGTGTATCTCGGGCGGAAAGATGATGCACAGATTAAGCTAAACGGCCAGCGAGTCGAGCTTGGAGAGGTCGAAATACAGCTTGCACACAGCATACCTAATGCTAATCACATAGTCGCCGATATCGTCACTCTGTCAGGGGGCCAACGACTACTGGCCGCATTCATCAACTTCCATGTTGAAGACTTGACACCAGCGGCACATGCTAAGTCCCCGAGATCAGTTAATCTTCAAATCATCATCCAAAAAGTGGAAATCGAGAATGAGATGCTGAAACGGTTGCCAAGAAACATGATACCCTCGGCCTTGTTCGCTGTCGAATATATTCCTCGGACTTTGGCTGGTAAAGTTGATCGCAAGCAGCTTCGTGAAGCAGCGGCAACTTTTACGATAAGCGATCTCAACCAGAAACATAGCCAGGAAAAAATCACCCGACCGCTCAGCGATAATGAAAGAAAATTGCGAAAGATATGGGCCGATACGCTCAAACTAGATGTATCGGCAATTTTCGTCACGGATAACTTCTTCGAATTGGGCGGCAACTCAGTCACCGCGATGATAGTCGCTAGCCAGGCACGAAGGCAGGCAATGGAGATTACCGTCGCGGATATCATCCGTAGCCCCAGAATTTGCGACCTTGCCGCAAACGTAAAGTCATCAGTACTGCGGAAGGGCACGACAATACCACCATTCTCTTTGCTTGAGCCCACAAACTATAAGCAGGTTTTCCAAGAGATAACAGCTGTGCACGGTTTGTCCCCAGATACAATCGAGGACCTCCTACCGTGTAGTCCACTTCAGGAAGGTCTACTATCCTTGACTAGCCTGGAAGGCGATTACGTCTTTCAAAGGGTCCTTCAAATCTCAGAAAATGTTGAGATAAACAAGCTTTGCAAAGCATGGGAGGCTGTCGTGCATGAACTTCCAATACTGAGAACAAGATTCTTCATGGTGGCACAGCATGATATCATCCAAGCCGTACTGAAACAAGGGATAGATTGGATTCAAGCTGTAAATCTTGAAGAGTATCTCAAATCCGACATAGCAAATCCAATGGGCCTAGGAGATCCCATGTCGCGCTACGCTATCATCACCAGCGAATCGGGCAAAGAGCGATGGTTCGTATGGACGATTCATCACAGTTTATACGACGGCTGGGTCTTGTCCCGGATCCTGGATATGGCTGAGCGCGCATACAATGGAAGAAGTCTTGGAAAGCCCATCGGTTTTGGCCATTTTATCAAATACTTTCTAGAGCGAGATAAGGTAAAGGCTGGAGAGTTTTGGAGGTCCTACCTTGCTGATTTGCCTATCCCTCCACAGCTACTCAAATGTGGCCAGAATATCGAACCAGCCCGGAGAGCCTTCTTGCGAAAAGAAAGAGCTTTAAGATTAGAGGCAAGGGATCACGTACCTTCAACCTTCATACGCGCAGCTATGGGTGTTACTCTTGGAAAGATTACCGGCCTGAACGATGTGGTTTTTGGAACTACAGTGACCGGTCGTGGTTGTCCAGTATATGGCATTGAAGACATAATGGGACCTACCATCGCCACGGTGCCAGTTCGTGTCGATTTCAAAACTAAGCAAACAGTCAAAAACTTCCTGGACACGCTGCAGTCCCAAGCTATGGCGATGCTACCGTTTGAACACGAGGGACTTCAAAATATCGGGCGGATGAGTCAGTTCTGCCGAGATGCTTGCCAATTCCAAGCCTATTTGGTAATTCAGCAAGATCATCCTGCCTACTCGGACCCTGGGACTCTGGGAGAGTGGCGACAAGAGTTGGACCGTGGTGGACTGAGTACGTATCCCGTTGTGATGGAGTGCTACGTACGTGAGGACAGTGTAGAAATTCGGACAAGCTTCAATTCAGAGACAGTATCGGAGAGCGAGATGGAAGGAATTCTGGATTATTATTTCCGTGTCTTGGAGAAACTACTGGAAGCAGGTGCCCGCTCTCTTAGGAAGCTTCAGGATATCATCGTCATTCCCGAGGTTGATTTAAAGCAGCTGTGGGGAAAGAATAGTACAGTGTCGCAACTCGTCGAATTCAGGAGGCAGCTGAAGGAAATGGATCGGAAACTGGCACATCTCATCGAGGAATCACTCAACCGGGGCGGCAGCAAAACAACGACTGAGGATACAAAGGCTTTAGCGTCTAGGCTGGACGGCACTCAAGACCAGTCAAACGGCCCGCCCGTGGATCTTGAAGACATTGAGTACCAGATTGGAAGTCGCCTTAGCAACGTTGTACAGGCAGTTGCTGATTTTGTCACTTTCCTGGATGGCGAGCGAGCACTTGTGGCCTTTGTCCTTCTCCGGAGTAGTGATGGAGAGTCAACCGATGGAGCACCATTACTCCAAATCATCACAAGCAACGAAATTCGTGACTCTGTTTCGAAACAAATGCCGCAGCATCTGGTACCAGCAGTGTTCTTCTCAATTCAGAGCGTCCCCCGCACCATAACGGGAAATGTGGACCGCCAGCTTCTTCGAGAAGCAGCCGGAAAATTAGAGCTATATAAGCTGAAGACTCAACAAGAAGGCGCTTGGCGTCCGCCCAGTAAGGAAGAAAGAGAGCTCTTGCAGATTTGGGCTACTGTTCTTGAGCTCGAAGCATCTACAATCGGCGTAAACGACAACTTTTTCAGGTTGGGAGGTGACTCTGTTTCAGCCATGAAAGTCGCTGCTGCCGCTCGCGCCTTCGGTCGAAGTATATCTGCCTCGAGCATTGTCAAATATCCCACTATCGCCCAGCAAATTGCGAACACTTCAATCCAGAAGGATCCAGGGCTAGTTCTCACAACACCAAAGCCCCATGAGTTGGTTCATGACTGCCAAAGAGAAGAAATTATGCAATCCCTTGCAACGAAGGGATTAGAAGGCGATGTGCTTGATATCTTGCCAACAACTGATTTCCAAAGCAAAATCGTCATGGACGCAATTTCTAGCCCGGAATCTGCATTGAACTACATCTGCGTGGACCTTGGACATTCGGTCAATCTCGACAACCTTCAGAATGCCTGCAAAGCTCTTGTGGACAAGATAGAAATTTTCCGGACGGTATTCGTACTTTCGAAGGGCAAAGCGTGGCAGGTCGTCCTAAAGAGATTACCAGTCAAGTTGGCCAAATTCGAGGTTCAAGATGACAGCTTTGCCGAGATCTATTGCAGAATACGCTCAGAGCCTTGCTCGTTCGATGTTCCTACTCTGTCATTCAATCTCGCTCGGACTCGGGGCCTGGGTTACAGACTACTCATTGGCATATCGCATGCACAATACGACGGTCTTTCTGTGCCCATGGTATTGAGGATGCTTGAAGCTGCCTATCAAAAAGACCAGATGCCTTCTTCCATTGCATTTTCTGCGTATTCTAAGCTACAGTCAAGGCTACGTGAATCGTCAACTGGCTACTGGAAGAATTTGCTCAAGGACTCTCGTCTCACTCAGGGCATGTTATACTACTTGCCAAGTCCGTTTCCAGCAAACGGACCAAAGATAATTGAAGGAAGTACGATCATGCCCTTGCCAGCCTTACCTGAGGGCATCACTGTGGCTCTCCTAGCTAACATGGCTTGGGCTTTGCTTTTACACAACATTACCGGAGAGAAAGACATAGTTTATGTCACTCTGGTGTCGGGGCGCTCTACCCCAGTCCGCGATATCCAAAACATCGTGGGTCCATGTATTAGTCTGATTCCAGTGCGACTGGCCTTTCCAGAATCGTGGGCTGTTTCGCGGCAGATTGCGCGCCTCCAAACTCAGTTTTCTTCCCTCGACCAGGGCGATACAATGGGCATTGACGAGATCCACCAAAATTGCGCTCACTGGTCTCCCACGTCGACTTTCGACTCGATATTTTTTCATCAAAATGTGGAAGAAAGATACGAATGCCAACTCATGGGGCACTGGAGAAAGGTGGAGATACACATGAACCCTTCAGCTATAGTTCGGAGAACTGCGATTACATCGTACCAAGAGGGCAGAAATTTGAAGGTCAAAATCCTGACTACTAATCACTTAATGACAGCAGACGGAGTCTCGGCATTGCTTAATAGGTTTTCCAATGCTTTCTCAGCTGTCTGTGCGAATTTATAGAAGTGCTTTGTTTTATACATAGTTATAGTAGGAAATGATATTAAAGAACTAATATAAAGACCTAGACAAAGACTGACTAGTCTTAAGATAGATACTAACCTAACTTAAATAGAATTTCGACTAGGTCTTTATAAGAGTATAACTCTTACCTCTACTTCTACACTTGTAAAGACTAAGCTAGTAGTAAAGGTAGATAAGTAACTTTTAAGCATTCTCTATAACGTACTCTATCACCGAGCCAGTCATATCATCAAACTGGTCAAAATCTGCCAAGACTAACACAACTCCGCACTTCACAGTATGTCTCAACATCACGACTTATTGCTTCATCACAAAGGGAGACTGCAGCTTGCTCTCCAGGCCTATAATACTGGACAGTTTTAGAGCTATCGGGCCGCTGCTGCTGCGTTTAACGTTAACCAGCGCAGTCTCTCTGAACGCGCCAACAATACTCTATTTTGACTTAACGTACGCGCAAACTGCTAGAAGCTTACTGCAACTGAAGAGCAGACAATTGTCTAATATATCCTTAACCTTAATTCGCGAGGGTTTGCGCCTTAGCTATGTAAGGTAGTAGATATAGCTAATAAACTATTAGGTGTGCGTAGTAGGGAGCCTATTAGTAAACTCTAGGCTACAAGATTTGTAACGCGTTTAGATTAGCTTAAGATAGCGTTTAACTAAGCAAAGAACAGACAGAGGATACTGTAGGAAGATCCTAAGGTAATTAACGCGTAGTTTATGCTAGTAGAGGGTACTAAGGCTAAGTATAGCATCTACAACAACAACATGCACAACTTTAATAAGACTAGGTTCTAGATAGGCGTGATAGGGTTAATAAAGGTTGTTACAGGCGCTGAGAGACGTGCTTGACCTGAGCTTGTTTAGCTAGGCGATTGGGAGTGGGTTACAGTTATACAGAGCATCTGCGCTGCTGGATATGCCACCCCGCCTTTCATTATCTACAAAGGACGCATCCACATCTCTGCCTGGTACAAGGAGATAGATATCCTGCACAATTAGAAGCTCTCTGTCTCTAAGAACAGCTAGACAAATAACGCGCTTAGCCTTAAGTAGTTGAAGCATTTTAACGCACATACAAGAGCGTGTTAGGTAGGGGTTTATAGGCTACTTATCTTAGACAGCTATAAGAGCCACCTTAACTAAAATTTTAAGGACTACTGCCTAGAGAGCAAAATCCTTACTCTTTATATGCTAGCTCACTTATCACACATCCTCTAGCTGCTTAACGTGGTCTGTTTCTCGCTGTTAAAGCGCAAGTACTCCCAACGCGTCTAGGACTTAGCACACTGACTTGTCTTCTACATTAATAAGGAAGGCTTCCCTCTAGCCTTTAGAGATGTGTTTCTTAATATATTTACAAAGGCTAACTATTAGAAGGCCTTTAAGGTATTAGGGCTAGTCCCTACTAACACGCAGGTAGTGTTAGATTGCCTTAAGGTGCAGCACTGTACCCTACTATCACCCCCTCTACTAGAGACACTGTGGCAGTTAAGGACTCTAAGCAATACACACAAGTTTAGATCTTAGTTAAAGCTTATATATAACTCCTTTACCTAGTTACTAGTTACAGCTTAGGCTAGCTTCTCTTAGCCTATTAAAGGTAGTGAATTAATACTACACTAAAACGCGCTTTATGCTGCTTACATTACTAAGCTTAAAGAGTAATTAGTAGTTATAAGTAGGAGGAAGTCGCGCAAGCAAAAGCAGATTTAGTATAGCAGCACACTTAAGTACGGCCTAGCAGCATCACAGGTAGCTGCTAAGGTGTCTGTAGTAGCTTAGCTGTTAAAGAAGATTTGTAGTGTAGATACTTAAGAAAGGACCTTTTTAGCCTAACAGCGCTGAAGAAACTATAGAGGCACTAGGCATAACACTTAAATATGTTAGAAAGATATAGGAGAAGATTCTAAATCTAAAGCAAGTACACAGTACGCTAGATTACTGTTTAATAGTAGGTAATTTGAGTTACTTTAACGTACTCCACAAGCTTGCCGGTCACCCAAGTGTACCGGTCACTTTTGCCAAGACCACACCAAACTTCACTCTACTAACAATGCCTCAACGCAGCAACATGAAAAAGCTCT